CCTCCCGTGTTGGCATTGTTGCCGTTGTTGGCATTGTTGCCGTTTCCACCCTGGTTTGCGTTGCCTCCATTGCCACCCGCCTTGACCTGGAACTTAGTGCAATCATCTTGAGCACCACGTTGAGCTACAGGCATAAGTACAGGCTGATGGTTGGCGGATGAGCTCATAGTGCAGATTCGGTAGAATCCCTCTGGAAGCCCATTGGTGACTACCGCAGAAAGAAGGTTTTGGCCGTTTCCATTATCATTGATTCCCTTGAAGAAGACGAATGCTGTGGCATCAAGAGCATCTTTGGGGGTAAAGCTGTTTCCCATGTCCTGGATAGTGACATGAGTGTGGCCAATGATTTGGCCTTGGCCGTCGAGATTTTGCGGGGCAGAGTAATATGTGTTTGCCGCGTTGGTGAAGGAGCCAGGTGCAAAGTTGGCCATCTGAACTTCAACATTGAAGGTGGTGAGTGGCTCCAAGACTTGACCTGGCTGGGGATTGATGATCATGCTAGAAACCATCTTGTTCTTGGCGGGGATTTTTCCCATAACTATATATAATCAGCAGGGTCCAGTGTTTGGTTTAATAGGCTGACTCACCAACTCCATTGCACGAGCCGTCAGTGTTTTGTAAACCATTGGTGACGGTCTGTCCGGAGCAGAAGTTGATGAAGTTGGCAGGGTCACTGCTTCCGTTAGCTGGTGTATATATATGGGGTTAAGAAACCTTACGTTGCCGAGTTAACTTGACCAGCTGCAGCAACATCGTTAGTTTGGCCAGTCGCAGCACTGCCAGTCTGCACAGCATTGGCTGCTAAGCAAGTCGGGTTCGCTCCGCCATTGTTGCCTCCACCGTTGTTGCCAGTGTTACCGGTGTTACCGGTGTTACCTCCAGTATTGGCGGCATTGTTGGCAGCATTGTTTGCGTTCTGGCCGCCGTTGTTTCCTCCAGTGTTGGCGGCATTGTTGGCGTTCTGGCCGCCGTTGTTGCCTCCAAATCTATTGCCACCTCCGAAGCGGTTTTGGCGGCGTCTAAGCTGTCGTCGGCTGTGGTTGCTTTCTCTCACAGCAACGGGGTTTTCAAGGCCTCTCGCAGCCTCGTGGGCATGGGAGCCGATTGAAGCTCCGGCGACCTGGGCAGCCAAGCCGGTGGCCGCGAGAAGTAGGACGGAGGATGTGAAGCGCATCGTGACGGTGACTCGAGTAATAGGGATAAAGGATAAGAATATAAGACCAGCTTGTTAAATGAAAGTAGAAGTGAAGTTAAGGGGAACGATCAACGTAAAGAAGGTAATGAGTGTGGAACTTTCGAACCAAAGCAAAAAAGACAGGTCAGCAAAAAGAAAGCGATGCAGATTAAAACCAAAAGACGGAAGGAAATACCAAGAGCGCCATCACCGTCTTTATGGGTTGCTCTGGCGGCACAGATTACGGAAACATCGGCACGATGGAAGGGGAAGGAGACTGCAAATAGCAAGGATCAGTCTCAAAAGATGGCGGTTTCTAAACGCGGAGCAACATGGGCACGTCAAGCTGTCCAAGCATTGGCAGTGGGTATTCTGACAGAAATGGACTGTTTCGGTAGAAAAATGGAGATTGGAGGTGATGGGTACAGCACAAATATGAAGTTGCAGATGTATCAGAATGGAGTTCTGAAGCGTCGTTTAACCCCTTGGCGTTGTATACGGTCGGTGTCGGCGACAGCTTGAGTTTCGTATAACCCGTTATTTTGGTCAGCGAGCCAACCACACGACCGGAAGTACGTGATGCCGCTTACATCAGCCGCGGTTCAAGGAACCAAAGGGCCGTGCCTCAATGGCGCAGAGGCTCTTTCCAAGACCTCAAGGGTCCAGGAGATGGTCTCACTGGAAATTGCGAAACTGCGTCCAAGAGATGCCAGTGCCCCATATGGTCCCATAACAGGTCCAAGCCGCAGCCACAGCCACTGTTGAGCGCCATGGCCACCACTGAATGTGCCGTGACGGGCCAGTAGAGCAGGTCCGCGGACTGAATGCCAATATCTTAAGCTTTATTTAGGCCTGCAGCACATCAGGGGGACATGGTTCTCCGACATGGCCTGTTTGAAGACGTCGTACTTTTCCGCTGTCAGACTCCTTGTTGGGCTTTCCCCTGAGATATGACTGCTCTCAAGACCTCCGAGGGTCTATGTCGGGTCTTCTCTCCAAGGTCGCTTCAGTTCCCCTTACCTGAAGGCAATCATCGGTCATCCTTGAGCTACGAGCTCGCCGCCCTCCCCGGGTCCTTGTGCTATCCGTGCAGGGGCAACTTGTTTGACCATTCGGCTGATGTATTCTATGAGGCACCCCGTCGCTCCTTCGCTCCTTCTGTTCTCCCCGCTCATACAGATCGGCGACACTCGTCCGGCTTGATTCAACCCACATCAGCTGAGATGCTTGTTCATCTGATGTCCCTGTCTTCTTCCTCAGGTCGGACGAGTTTGAGTTTGGCAGGCGTGATGATCCAATAATGATCGATTGGGGGCAATAGACGAGTGCTGGTCTGTCCGCCTATTCTGCTGTCGGTGGTGGGGTGTTAAAACCAAAAGCCATGAGGTAGTGCGGATTGTCCATACCGCCTTATGATAATACGATAAATAATTCATGTGAAAGTTCGTTTCAGAGGGTATCTTGGAAGCCGAAGCCCCGTCTTCACGCTAATCTTGCATCTTCCGCTGGCTCGTTTCTGAAATTGTCGCCAAGAGGCAATTATAATGCATTGTACGCATTATTTATGTAGTATAGCAAAGTATAACAGCCAGTTTATTAACTGTGAATTTGCAAATATGAAGGTTGACGATGCAAGTCATTCTTACCTATGGAAGCGGCCATGTACTGTGTGGAAACCGTCCATAATAGTCACGTGACATTGGCTTTTTATTCATCTGGGGATTGCCATGAAGTAAAAAATTGGGCATTTGTTTTGTAAATTATAGTATTTCATCTGTAAATATTTACAGTGCGTCAGCTCATCTGTAGACTACTTTGGTGATGGAACTAGAGTGTTGGGGATGTAGCTGGTTTAAATATATTTGAAATAATATTCTCGCTAGAATATCAACACAATTTCTCCATGAAGAGGAAAACAATCAGTGAAGAGACTGGGAAAACAAAAATGGACGCTCCTGCCAATATTGATGGCGGTGAGCATCCTGCTAACCCTCTTCCCAATCCTCCTGAGACCTTCCCTCCAGAGGAGCGGCCTCTCCATGAAGGTTTTATGCGGGAAGCGTTGGCAATGGTATGTCCCACCTTCTTATATTGCCAAATTAGACCCCATGAAAGCCACTATACTCACCAAACACAGGCACAACTTGCCCTTGACACAGACGAGACCCCTGTAGGCTGTGTCTTTGTGCATAATGGGGCCGTTGTCGCTCGTGGCATGAACGCCACCAACCGCACCCTCAACGGCACACGCCACGCCGAATTCATCGCCATTGCCTCGCTCCTTTCGCCGACGCCCCTTCCGGCGTCAACTTCCCCAAACGACCTACCCCAGCCTGACCCCTCCCGGCCGGCCTACACTGCCGATGTTCTCCCAGAATGTGATCTTTATGTCACGGTTGAGCCGTGCGTCATGTGCGCCTCCTTGCTCCGGCAGTTCGGGATCAGGAAGGTCTATTTTGGCGCTGCGAACGATCGATTTGGAGGGACAGGCGGTGTGTTGAGTATTCATGACTGTGCATCAGTAGACCCGGCGTATAAGGTCAGTGGAGGCTGGCTGAGGGAAGAGGCGATAATGATGCTGCGGCGGTTTTACGTACAGGAGAATGGGAAAGGTGAGTTTCCACTCGAGTTATTTGGCAAGAGTTTCTAAAGACATGGCCTCTAACTGATTATAGCACCGGCGCCGAGACCGAAGAAGGAGAGAGTTCTAAATCTTGAGGTAGAACCGTTGGTTAAGCCAACTGGTGATAATCCGAGTTAAATGTTTGGAATAGGATCTTTTTGACACAGCATTGAAGAGGTAGACAGACGAAGTACATGTATATCACGAAGAATTTACGTAGATTTAGGCAAGGAAAGAAGCTTTACAATTGTTTTGTGAACAGCCTTGCGCTATGAAGGGAGCTGAACTTGCCCCGGGCTCTATCAAGAACAGCTGTATAAATACTCAGAGAGCATTTACACCAATAGCCCTACCGACCAATATTAATGCTCACCCGTGCAGATGTTTAAGGGATGGTCTCTTACATTTGGGACGGGTGCCTCGACTGACAACAAGAAGTGTCGCAGCATTTGAACCAACAGCATTGCCAGCGGACCGTAACGCCCAGTGATATCAAAACATATCAATCACTCATAAGGCCGACGTAACGTAACAGTGTCTAGAAATCTCATTGGATATGTACAACTTCACCCCCCGTTTTCCCAAAATAATTATCGACACATCAGATCCCGCCTGCCTTTCCCAATCGCTCGGCCTCCAATTCCCTCTCGGCTTGCTGATAGTATTTCGCGGTATCCACACCGTGCTGGTTGTGGTTCACAAAGTTGAACCATGGCATGACGTGCAGAAACACGCCAGAGTACCGCGAGTTCCTGGATGCAACGCCCTGCATGTATGGAGTAAGTGAGCTCTCGCCGTAGAGGGACTCGCCCTTCTTGACTTTCGAAACCATCTCCTTCATGTCCCTCTCGACCTCACGGGAGTTCTCGCTGAAGCCGTAGAAGCGAACTGTAGTGACAAATGTTAGCAGATGAGCGCGACCTGGATCCAATCGGGCGGGAATATGGCGAGAACGCACGAATGGAGCGCTGATACATCGTCAGGAAACCAGCGGTAAGCCCAACAAATCCAGCCAGGCGCATAATCGGCGCAAAACCACCCTTGCCGACGTACGACGGAGCGATTTTCTCCCATGTGAGCATCAGGCCGGGCCCGGCAGCGGCGACCACAGCTCCCGTGGCATAATCCGAGGGGCGAGTGTAGGCCAATACACGCTTGACATGTCTGTTCCGGTTAGTATCGCACTGTTATCTGGGAGAGGCCTGTTGGTTGTTGTGGGACGTACGGATCAGAGTCGATGAGCTGTAATTGCCGGGTTAGCAGGATTCTCGACGCAAGAAGGGCGATGGAAACATACAGGATAGGCAGTGTTGACTTTCTTCGCTGGCACGAACGGCCGCTGCTCGACGTTCGACATTGTGAAGGCGCAATGGTGGACAATTGCGTGTGGAAGTGCTCGTGGTGAGGTTGACTTGTGGTTCATGGAGTCGAAGAACTAATCGCTTGTGATTGGCGGAGCTTGCGCCAAGCAATTTTTGGGATCGGGAGAACTGTAGCTTCAAAATGTTAGGAAGCGCGCTTGGAAAGCAGCAGACGACCACATTTGCGCCGCCTGTTTTATTTGTATTGTGGTTACAAGATTTCTTGAGATTGCGTCTATATCTTTGCTATTTTGCGCTGGATCCTGCGAATGAGGCGAAGCAGAAATCTTCTGTGAACCGTACAGCAGCACTGCAAGTAAACAAAGACACGCGCAGCCCTGCCTGCTTCAAAGCCGTCTCCTCTCAATCCCCGAACAACATCGACCTAATCTATCACGATGGCTTTTAGCTTTGGAAATACACAGGCTCAGCCAGCCCAGACGGGAGGAGGCTTGTTTGGAGGACTCAATGCGAACACACAAAACCAAGCCCAGGCTGGAAGCTCGATATTTGGCCAAAAACCACAGACTCAGCCGGCTCAGCAAAGCACGGGATTCTTTGGGCAAAATACACAATCGCAGCAGCAGCAGCCGCAGCAGTCTCTATTTGGCCAGAGTGCCCAGGCACAGCAACCTCAGCAGTCATCTCTATTCGGACAAACTCAGACACAACAACAACAGCAACCCACTGGGTTATTTGGGCAGACGGCACAGACTCAACAGCCGCAACAACAACAGCCATCACTTTTTGGGCAATCTGCCCAGACACAGCAGCAGCAGCCCAACAACCAGCAGAGCCAGTTCGGAAGCTCCCAATTATGGCAACCACAGACACAAAACCCTCGTATGTACAATTCAAAGTCCCTAAGCAGTCCATCTAACACATTTGACAGAACCAAAATCCGTCCCCGAACAAATGCAGGTAGTTCTCGAAAAATGGTCACCGAACAGCCCAACCTGCGTATTCAAGCACTACTTCTACAACAAAGTGGCGGATAACCAAGTGCCATTCTACAAAGCTGGCCCAAACGAGGATCCCAAGGCATGGGACGAAGCGCTGTCAAAGAAGCCAGGACCTGGATATATACCTGTGTTGTGCACGGGATTTGAGCAGCTGGGCGAGCGTATCAAGACACAAAACACCACCCTCGCTGCGTTCAACAGGGTGCTGCACCAAATCAACGGAAGCTTGGATGCGATGATGATCCGCCATGACACGGAAACGAGCGTGAGGATCCTGAATGCCAAGCGAAAGCATACGATGTTGAAGCAGAGGTCGCTGGCGCTGGCAACGAAGGTACAGATCCTGAGAAATAGGGGATTTGCTATGGGTGCAGCTGAGGAGGCTTTGAAGGTAAAGCTTACGGCGCTTGACAAGTCAGTGTGCGATCCAGCTCTATCAGCAAGGGCGGAAGAAATCTGGGCACGCATGGTTAGCGTTAGGGAGAGGGCGAGATTGCTGAAGGAAGAGATGGAGAGACAGGCAGGCGGCAATGGTTCAAGCATGGATGAGCAGACCGCGCGCAGAGCGGAAAAGGTTTGTAGCCCCATCTCACGTTTATTGACTGCGCCGCTAACCGTCCCGTAGATCCTCGAAGATTACGCAACGCAGCTGGCACATTTGAAGAAGGAACTGGCGTTGATCAACACGGAGTTTGGGGACTGGCAGACAGAGCAGGCGCCCGCGGATTCCGAGACGAAGAGGAGGTAATGAAGAGCGGTTGGTTTTATTAAGTTATTATGGATGTATTCGCCTTATTATGACCAAACGGCGTCGGCACTGGGGAACGGTGTTTTGTATTAGACAGTAATCATTCCGTAAATATTGTACAAAATGTGCCGGATTTCAGGCACATTCTAGGCGTCTATTGTTCCCAAATCCATATGTAATCCTTTCCCTTTTGTGATTTCCCATCCCCCCAAAGTACTCGGCCTAATAATACAATGCCAAATCACGTCCGTGATGGCCCTTCCATCTGTTGTTGCATCGATGTACATGGTTTAGATGAGCTTCTTGACAGCGTCGACGGCGAACGGTGCTGTGAAGAGATAGATTAGAGTCGGCTCAGCGAGAAGATCTGACAGAGTTAACTTACAGAGGTACAAAAGAACGGCTCCAATGATGATTCTCTGGATTGTGCTGGAAGCCTCATCCTCCTGAGCCCTGAGCTCGGCGGCGCTTGGTGGTGGTGGTGCTGCAGTCCAGCGTCAATAACAGATCCATGGGTAGGGTCAGACAGATGATTCCACTTACGTCCTCCGAACATTTTGTTAGATTTAGTAGTGTTGTTGTGGTGGTCGTGGTTACTTGAAGTGATGTAGACCTTCAAAATTTATTTTGACGTTGTAGTCGGACTTGGTTACCGTACTAGGAGTAGTTCAGCCTTCCAGATCACCTCTGAGGCTCTATAATTCTTTCAATTCAAATTCAACCACAGAACAACACTTCACCAGACGCGTTTCAATACTTTTAATATATCCGTTTGTGCATATTCAGTGGCCGCCCAGTTGGCGCGAGAACTCTACACATAATAACACCCGTTCTTCCACCTTTACACCACATCTCCACTACCAACTCCACAGCGTCTCTGGGCTGCAACTCACCTATCTGACGACAACCCCGAACCCAAGATACGGATAGATCCCAGTCTAAACCTCACATAATACTACAGACACGATGTCGGACGCCGGTGGCAGCTCTCGCGCCGCGACGCCAGAAGATAATGGTTCGCCACAAGACACACCCGTTGCCGATGTAAACGAAAACTCCGACGTGGAACAGGCAGAGGAGAATGGCGATGACCGCGACGACCTTGATTCTGAACTGTCCGAGGTCGACGAAGCAGAGTTTGCCGACTTTGACCCTACCACCGTCGCACTTGGCCCTGTCGAGATTGATGAGGAAGTGGCGCGCACCCTGAAGGCCGGAAAGCGCAAGCGCCCAGAGAAGGATGGAGAGGGCGCACCTAAAAAACCAAAGGAGGGGAAGAGAGAGAAGTCGAAGAAGAGGAAGGAGAGGCTCGAGAGGACCCAGACCGGTGCCGAGGAGTACGACAGTGGCGCGGATGGAGAGATACTGGAAGGCAGACGGACGGCGAAACCCAAATCCGTTAGGATCGAAGGAGAGCGCAAGGAGAGAGATCGCGCAAAGGAGAGGAAGAGGGAAGAGGAGCGAGTGCAAGCCGTGGACCAGGAGAATATGACCCCGGAGCAACGGAGGGCTGCAGCTCTCGACGCAGCAATGGATGCGGCATTGAAGAACCCGAACAAGAGAAGGCGCAAGAAGGATGATGTGGTACGTGTCATGTTTGATGACTATTGAATATACGATTCTGACTGTTTAGGACCTGGAAGAAGCTTTCGACGATGAGATTGCGGCCCTGAAGATCCGCATGGAACAAGCCTGCCAGGCTGACAACACGGCTCGCGAGCGAGGCCAGCCGGCCGTCCATAAGCTGAAGATGCTTCCCGAAGTCGTTGCTCTTCTCAATCGAAACACTGTTCGCCACTCCATTGTTGATCCCGACACCAACTTCCTCCTTTCCGTCAAATTCTTCCTCGAACCCCTGAACGACGGCAGTCTTCCAGCATATAACATCCAGCGTGATCTTTTCAATGCTCTAGCACAGCTCCCCATTGAAAAAGAGGCTCTTCTCAGCAGTGGTATTGGAAAGGTGGTTCTGTACTACACCAAGAGCAAGAGACCTGAGATTGGGATCAAGCGCATTGCAGAGAGGCTTCTCGGGGAGTGGAGTAGGCCGATTTTGAAGCGCAGCGACGATTATAAGAAGAGGAAGATTGCCACTAAGGAATATGACTTCCAGTATGTATCCCTATCTGAATTGGAGTGGCGCGTATTAACTGTCTTCCCAGGGCCGCACAACTGGCCCTTCGCCCATCCGGCACACAGTCTTCGAGCCAGCCATCCAACGGATTGTCCCGAAAGGAGCTGGATCGCGAGCGCGTACTGGCCGCGCCAAAGGCGGGTAACAGGGCTAGGCTGGAGACGCACAGTGCCAGTTATACTGTTGCGCCCAAGAGTACTTTTGATCCGCAGAGAGCCATGGACCCAGCGAGCAGGCCAATTGGTGCAAGTGGTATGGAGGCTTTCAGGAAGATGACCGCAAAGAAGGGGACGAAGAGGTCTTAAGGCTCCAGTCTCATGCGAACAGAGCAATGGATGGGCGTTTTGAGATGGCTTTAGGTGTATTTATAGTTCACATATCTGCCTTTGACTAGGCGACGAGTGAAGAAATGGCTGGGGCAATGGCGCACATTGGGACCAGAGAGGCGTTATGTGCTTTGCGAGCGATGAATCTGAACAAAGTTTAGGGGTCTACCTTTGATAATCATAGCATCCAATTGAAGTGTAACATATATGCGATCTATGAAGCATCCATTGAAGAAAATGCAGCCATGTGGATAGTATGGCCGTATTCTGCAATGGAAAAGCTGTATGTGCGATCATCTGAGATTAGTGTCATTGCGTTAACTCTTGTTTCATTTATTGGTTTGAGGGATGTTGGAATAAATATTACAAAATATTTAATATCCATTTCATATGACCATAATTAATATACATTCCAACCCTTCAACAGAACAGATCTATGGATCTATCGCCACGAGAACGCGATATCTACATTATGCCAAAATTCATTTAAAAATGTGCCCAGGCCGTCAAATCTCATTCTTCCTTTTCCTTTTGCCCAGCTCCACCGCTACTCCCCAAAAAACCGCTCAACCAATTCCTGAACTCTTCTAACTTACCTGCAATATAATCGCCATCAAGCATGTCCCAGATACCATCGCCAGCCCCGGCCTCGCCCGTAGTTTCGGGAGCACCAGGAACTTTTGAAGCGGTAGGAGTCTCTGGTGTACCCTGGCTGATGACGGGCCTGTCGACACCTGGAACATCACTGACGACAGGCCGATCGATGCTGGGATCTACAGTGCTTGTCGGCTTACTTGTGGAAGGCCCGTCTGACGGCAGAGGGTCCAAGGGCTCTTCAGGCGTCGTTTCGGGGCTGTGAGCGCCGACTGGCTTCAACGGCAACCGCAGTGTTCCATTGTTTGGCTGTGGGGTGAGGTTGAGGGTGTCGCAAACGATATTATACACCTCGGTATTTTCTATAGAGGTTAGTGGGAGGGAAGGATATGGATCATGGCACTTACGGAAAACCTCAACTCTGCTGTTTGGGGAATGTGGGAAAGCTGGTCCCCTAGCGATGAATATCGCTCTCATCAACGGGTTCTCGTGGTCGTAGCCGTGGAGTCCTTTGGGGTGGTATTCTTTACCTTCCGCCTTCGCCGTCGCAATGTTGAAGTCTTTTTTGGTTACAATTGCCCACCCCGTGTTTGGTACAATCCAGAGCGGCGCAATGCGTTCATTCTTCGAGAAATGATACCGCTCTGGCATGTTGGTATCGCGCAGATACACCTCGAAGTTTCCGTGTGCTTTTGCTGCGGCTGACAACGTATCGTACAGAGGCATCAAATCATCCGCCGACTTTGGCCTGAGGCCATATAGTGGCCACCCATCCGTATGCTCGATGAGGTTGAGGTCGATGAGATCGTCCAATTGGACCAGTCTGTCTGTGGATGTTGTTGCCATCCCATGATCAGAAACAATCACGACGTTGACAACTTCAGTAAGGTTCCTTTCTTCGAGACCAATAAACAGCTGATCGATCATATTATCCACACTGCTAATAGTGGCTCTCATCTCGGTGCTATTGGGGCCGTATTTGTGGCCGGCAGAGTCGACATTGGGGACGTATGCCGCGATCAACTGTGGGCGCATATCGGCAATGAGAGCGCTCTCATCTTCCTGTCCCGGTTTATCAAGGAGCTCGAGTACTCTGTCAACCTTGTCGAGAAGTGGCTCCTTGCTCTTGAACGTATCCAAGAAACTCGGCTCTAAATCCATAATATGAGCCTCACTCCCTGGCCACATGTGTATCGCCGTTCGGATCCCTTGCTTCTCTGCCGTCACCCAAATCGGCTCTCCACCCCACCATTCTGGCTGCATGCTCCGAGAGGGATCGGTATAATAGAACTCCCTCTTCAATTCTGGGTCCCAAAACGTGTTTCCTACGATACCATGACTCTCAGGATAGAGGCCCGTGGCAAGCGTATAATGATTCGGAAAGGTGACCGAAGGAAAACTTGGAAGCATATATACTGGGGATATGCCTTCGGCAACGAAGGAGTTCAGCCTCGGCGTAATCCCTCTCTGTAGAAAATCCGCGCGGAACCCATCAAGGCTGATGAGAATTGTCGTGGGCGCAAACAGCGCAGTCCCATTATTAAACATGGTCTGGACGGGCATCTTCCTTCTTCCCATCGATAATTTCCAAGCACCAAGGGACAATAAAACAAACGCGAGCAGTATGAGAACGCTAATATAACACAATCTTCCCCACTTGCGCCGCTGCTTTGATTTGTCGTTCATGCCGTGCGGTTCATTTTTGTCGACATCGGACAAGTCTTCGGTATTGCTGCTATCCCCAGTGGCGGATCCTTCCTTCAAAAAGCCTTCTTCCATCTCATACATCAATCCCCTATCCTCGCCATGGGCTGCAGCCTCCGTCAACCTGTCTTTCTTGTCCTGCCTCCGCGCCCTCCTCTGCCGCCGTCTCTCCTTTTCTTCGCTGTCGGCATTATTCGATAGGCTCTCAGAGCTTGGGCCTGATTCAGCGGACACCTTGCCATATGTCTTTCCCATCAACTTCTTGAAGGGATTGGGGAGGGCTAGACCGGAGCCTCTACGACCCAGGCGGTTCTCGGTCAGCATCTGGTCGCGTTCATCCTCCTCGAGCAAGACTCTCCTATCGTGCTCGCGGATGTCAGCGCTGGTTCGCGCGGCGCCCAACACAGAGTCATCCTCGCTATCGGTATCTTGCTCGCTGTGGATGGAGCGATCGTCGTTGCCGTTTGACGGTGTCAGGAAGGAGGCTTCCGCGCCGGGCGATAGAGTCGGAGAAGTCATGTCTGCAGCCGCTGTCATGAATCATGGAGAGACCTGGACGCCGGTGACATCTCTGGCCACAGTGACACAACAATTGCTGGGGTGAGTAAGAGATACGAGACGAGCCCCTCGATAAATTTATCCCCAAAGGTTGCGAGATGTGCCCATCTAATACGGTGGCCGTAAGAACCTCAAGTGCAGTTTATATAATCTGAGAACATAGACAGACATTCGAGCATTTCTTCATTCAAGGGATAGGATAAAAATCAAGTTGCAATTATATATTTGATATAAAAATTATGTTCATTACAGTGAGTATCTAACCCACTCGTCTGCCAACCTTTTGCAAAAATATACGGTACAAAGAAAGCCTAATTATAACAATCTGCCCAAGATTTCGCACTCGCTCGCGCTTGCTCTGGGTATCTCTTTCTGTTCTCTACACTATGACAAAGGAAAATGTTTTGATAGATATTAAGGCGGGGCTATCACCTCCCTAGATTTGCTCCGAACATTGTTTCATCGACGGTACTCTCATCATCATCATAAAATCCGGCGTCACTGTAATCCTCTGCCCGTGCATCAGCGTCGTAGTTGCTCCTGTGCATCATTGGAGGAGTCGCTGGTGGCTCATCGGCACTGCCTGCACGCGCCTTTCCCTTGGCAAGCTCCTTCCTGGGACTTGCCCTTTCTCTTGCCATTTGAGCAGCAGCAAGCCGGCGGCCAGTGTTCTGGAACGCACTCGGCTGGGCCTGTGGTGGAGGTGGAGTTTGGCGTACTGTTGTGGCTGGCGGGGTCATCAAGCCCGAAAGAAAGCTCTGAGCACCGGACGCCACTGTTCCTGCTGGGCTCGCTCTTGCTGGCTGGAGACCTTCGCGAGTCTTGCGCCAGCTACCCCACGCAGCTGCCATCGGTCCGACGACCTGTGCAACGCGAGGCGATGCTGCCTCGCGGATGCTGGCAGCTATGTTTGGCAAGTTGATGGCTGAGCCGCCACTAATCGCACGCTCGCGCTCTTGCTCCTCCATTTGGAGATTTGCCTGAAGGCGGATGGCGGCTGCCCTGACAGTTTCCGGGTTGAATCCCGGCTCGCCGATGGTGTTGATGATATCCTGAAGATCACCAACACGCACGGCAAGAAGCTCACGGAGCCACATGATCTCGTCATCACGCTTTGCTATTTTCGTTGGCGCATCGAGATCGACACCGGCGAGCTGGTGCTCAAGCGACTCGATTGTTTGTTCGCGGTTCTGGAGCTGCTCTTGGAGGACCATGATGGACTCGCGGAGAGCTTGCGGCGAGACCTTCTCGGGAAGCTTCATTGACAGAGCAGGTGTTTGGGCAGCGTCCTTGACAGTTCGGGCAGCTTGTACCGCAGCAAGAGCCGCCGATTTGGCAACCTCAAGCTTCTCCTCGACATGAGCCACTCGGTCTTGAAGGTGCTCTGTCTTGGCAGATGACAGGCTCAGCCTCTCGAGAAGGTGCTGCTCAGATCGTTGTGCGTCTTCGAGGGTATTGCTGAGCTGGCGCTCATGTTGGGTTTGCATATCCTCGATCTGGTCTTGGTGGCGGCGGATGAGTTCATTCAGTTCTTTGGCCTTGGACTCTGTCGCCTCCTCTAGCAGCATATCATGCCTCTCTCGGGCAGTATCCGCATCAAGCTTGACGTGGTCCAAGTCTGCTCTAACCCTCGCAAGTTGATCCTCGAGGTCTTGTCTGACGATATTGACTTGGTTGTTGGCTGCTTCAATTTCGGCTTGCATGTAGTTCCTGGTTCGCTGGACTTCGCTCAAGCCGGACTCGCGAGCCTCCTCAAACTCGCGTTTGTGGCGCAGGACGTTCTTCTCGGCGGCATTGAGTTCGTTCTCAAGGTTAACCACGAGAATATCCAGCTTCTTTGAGTCGTTAACAGCGCGAATGCCTTCGCGTTCACCAGCTTCAAGCCTCTCGATCTCCTTCTCAAGGCGCTCTCTGGTGCGCGCCTCAGCTTGCAGCCTCGCGTCGAGGACTTCCTGTCGCGCAATAAGAGCTTGCTCCTTCTTTGCGCGTTGGGCGTTCTCCTGTGACACTTCCTGGGCTGCCCTGGCCATATCATCTTGCAGGTTGCCCAGCTTGTTGCGGAAGTTCTCGCGGACGCGGAGACTCTCCTGCATTTGAAGCTTGAGGCTCTCGACTGCACGTCTGAGGGCAGTTGACTCTGCAGTCGCTTTCTCGGCATCGTCCTTGCTTGCGTTGGCCATCTCAGTGGCCTTCTGGGTCTCAAATTCCCATTGACGGCCTTGCTGGCGAGCATCTGCGATGTCCTTCTCCAACACGGCGATTCTGTTGGTGAGGTCGGAGTGATTTTTCTGCGAGTTTTGCGAGCTGGCCTCGAGCAGATTTGACCTCATTGCATTCTTGGCTCTCGTGTCCTCCAAAGTCTTGACCTTCTTATCGCGCTCCTCGAGCGACTCTCGGAGTCGCACCTCTTCCTCAGAAGAGATTCGGAGAAGCCTCTGGACCTCAGACAGACGATCCTCGGCAGTGCGGCGGTTCGTGACCTCCAACTCCATCTTCTCGTCGGCGGATGTAATCTTTGCCGTCATCTCAGAAACCTTTGCTTCTAGCTCAGCGATCTTGGCTTGCGCAGCATCGTCAACGACTGGGGCAACCGGCATCCGGCTCTCAATTGCACTTTCGACAATATTGCGGAAATCGACATCAGTATGCTTGGGTTGGCTAAACTGGCCTTGAAGCTCCTTGAGAGCTTGGAGGACCTCAGAGTGTCCCTGGACGTCCTCGGGTTGGCTCGTAGCACGCTGCACTGAGTGATGCTCTGCAAATGCCTCAGCAATCATGCTTCGCATCTTGTCAAGCTTTCGATCCTTCCTGGGACTGAGTGATCGGCGATGACCCTCATCGTCGTCTTCATCGTCGGCATCGCTTTCTTGGAACTCGGCAGACATACTGCGGCGGGCTCTGCGGCTCGAAGGTGGTCGTAAGGTTGCAAGTGACAGCTGAATGACTTGCAACGCTTGCTCCATGGGCCCTAGCTTTTCGGCCAGAATGCCGCCAACGATATCATTGACATGGCTGTCAAAGAATTGAGATCGAGCGTTGAATTTAGACTCGTCATCACGATCCAAAACGCTGTCCCAGTCGCTTGGCTCCACGCTCTCATCACCATTGAGATGGTGGATAGGAGAGGTCTCGAATGCCCTGGCAATTGGCGAGTGAGACACGAATGGGTCGTCTTCAACCCTGGAGAAGACTCGTTGTCCACGGCCTCCAGGAAGAGCCTGGAAGCGTCGCGGGCTAGGGCTCGGAGCATCGCTGCGCATCAGATTTTGTGGATGGAGGCGAATGGGAGACGACTCGCTGTGCGGCATCTGCAGAGTCTGCTCCGAGCCGACGGGCTCCGTTACGTGTCTGACAGCACCCATGGACGAGTCGGCCTCGTTGATGTGGCGCATGATATCGTCGATCTCCTCGAACGAAGCCTCCCGAGGCGGGGTAGCAATGTAAGAAGCTCCGTCGTAAGCTGCTGGGCTTTGTGGTGCGGGCTCTTCCAACGCTGATATTTCAGGATCACTGGCTTCGACCTCTGCGTCGACCTCGCTTCGATGTGGTGGTGGCGAGGGAGTTGGGTCCGCATATCTCGAGCTTGCGAGCCCCTTGCGGGGTGCAGGAGTGACTTTTGCGGGCTCGGGGGCAACATATGCGAATGGATTGGTAGGAGCTGACGCCTCTGGCTCAGTCGGTTCAGTCCCGAACCAGTTTGAACCGAATTGGAATGGTTTTGCAAGTGCAGACAGCGAGTTCTTCTTATGCTTCTTGTGGTCATTGTTTTCAGCCGGTGGCGCGGGTGCAGCAGGCTCCTCCGCTGGGACGTTTTGGTCCAAGACCGTGAACGGGGCGCTGCCGATAGAGTGAGGGTTGGACCTGCTGAAGTCGACGGCATCCTCCTGTTGCTGCCATTCGTATGGAGCCCAGGCCTTGCCTTCATAGTCTGGTGAGTCCTCGAATCGACTCCGGGTTTGATTCTGCAGAGCACGCTCCGGCACCGGTACAATGCGAAGAGGCTCTTGGTCGAGGTCCATCGGTGAGGCGTTCTCCTTGTCAATTGGTTTGGCTGTAACTGGAGTTGCATCCTTTGGTGGGGATTGTTCTCGGGTCGTCTCTTGGAGTGGCATGGTAGGCTGGGCAAATAGTGGAACCGAATCGCCATCGCCTACATCTGCCCTGGACCTCTTGAATCGGCCGTCTCCCTGCGTGATGCGGCCGTCCTCGCCCTCTACACCACCATCCTCATCTCCACTCTTGCCAGACGAAGTGTCTGGCCGAATGATTGGAATGGCCTTGGACTTTTTGGGCTGCTTGATTATGTCGGACAGGCTCATGCTAATGTTACCAAAGATGGACGATCTCAGGTTTGCAGGTGTTTCGGCAGAGCTGCCAGCAGAATCAGACATGTACGAAGCCAGTGGAGTGAACTCGGGTGCGTCAGGTCTAAACATTGGCCCCGACGAGGAGAAGCTGAACTCGCTCTGGCCTGGTGTGAATGGAGCAGCATTGACGTTGATCTTGCTGCCACCAAATGTGACTGGAGGCGACACTGGGCTGGGACTGATCGGCTGGAATGTGGTATTGAAAGCTGACACTTCCGGCTGCGGGGCGGCAAAGATGGGTTTGCTAGGTGTGAACGTGCTTGCGGGATTGAACTTGAACTCTGAGGATGCAGCTGGGTTGAATTTAAACTCGGAGGCAGATGCGGGGTTGAACTTGAACTCGGAGGAGGTCGAAGCGTTGAACTTGAACTCTGGTGCCGCCACGTTCAGCTTGGACGTTGAAGCCTTGGACACATGACCGCGACTAGCCTTTTCGGCACCAGAGGTTGGCTCAGAATCTGCCCATAGGTTGGTGGCAATGGACTGAGATCTTTGGTGAATGCTGCTGTTGACAAATTTCGGGGTGCCTAGAGCACTTGGATTGGCGGAGCTTTCAGACGTCTCCAGTTTAGCAGGCTCAGAGGCGAGTGTGGGGCTGGCACTTTCTCCATCGTATGGACGCTGGGAAAGTGAATGCCCCCGGCTGTGGGGTTGCGGGTGGTATAAAACAGGCCCTTCTTCATCAGCATATTTGGAAGCACTCAAGCCTGCAAAGGCTGGCTTGGGTTTCTCCTGCTGCTGCTGCTCCGCTTGTGGAGGCGATACAGGGGCTCGCTCCGAGTGAGGGCTGTAGTCATCATGATCCAATTGACGTTCAAATTGTTCTTCCAAATGATACTCTGCATCTTCAATTTCCTTCTGTAGACTGTCACTTAGATTGAGGCGATGAGCGGGCTGATTGGCCTCGGGCGTCTTTGAAGCGCTCTTTTCGCTATCCGCTTGGAACTCATGAAGTCGTGGGGACTGTCTTGAGATGGATTGCTGGACTTGATGGAACGACATTTGGTTGGAGAACTGTCGCTGGGGTTGAACGGCGATTGGGGTGGTCTCGTTGGGGAAATAACCGTCCTGTGGCAAAGGCGAGCCCGGAGAAGCAAATCCACCGAAATTATGCACAGATGGAGAACCACCACGATGCATACCCTGATATAGCATCTGTTGAGGAGACCATGGGACAGGAGACTGCTGTTGGGAGCCACCGTAGGGCGACCCGAATGGGTGTTCCCCGCCAGAGAATGAAATCGATTGGCGTGGGTTGTGAAACTTTCCCAGCATATGGCCGTGTCCTGATGACGTTGACGCGGTGGATCCCACAAACGAGCTCTGTCCTGTTGCAGGACCAGCGCCAGGAAGCAATGGCGGCGAGAAGAGCTTGGAGGGCTGCGTACCATGGCTGCTAGCAGCAGACGATGTTGGGAGCGGAGGCTGGAAGGGTAATCCATATTGCGCTGAAGCTTGACGGCTCAGCGTTGGAGCGGGTGAAGGTGCTGGGATGGGATCTTCATCACCCAGTGATACTCCGAGAGCTCGTAATTTGGCCTCTTTCAGCTCCTCTACGTATGCATCCCAGTGTCGTCTGTCAGGAATGCTGATCCTGTAATCACGGGCGTCCCGTTCAAGACGTATCTCAGTAGCATCCGGCCACATGCCTCGGCTTTGCCCCTGGGACACTGCTTCATGCGGCTCACCGTCGGCGTCGAGGTTGAAGCCCGTGACATTGTAGCCGAGCTGCTCCCAGTCGCGCAGCATCGAGATGACATCCTTTTCAGTCAATGGTTTAGGGCCCTTTCCTTCTTGCCCGCGATCTTCGTCTAATGGCAGGAGAATGGATATGTTCTTCTTTCCCCAAGGAACTTTGGTCTTCAGCCTCGGAGGCTCAGGGTTTGGGGATGGGATTGGCTTTGGTGTAAGGTCTTCAAGAGCCACATCGCTCGCCATAGGCAGCGCCGCTGCGCGCCAACTTGAAGCGGTATCCGCCGGAGGTGTCGGAAGCGGCTTGTCTATAGTTGGTGGCGGGGTGTCGTGCGAGGCAGCAAAGACATCATCTTGTGCGACAATGCCAGCCACAGACTGCGCGGCCGTCTCATAACTCGCCGAGGAAGTCATACTGGTAGGCGCCTTGTATCTGGGAACGTCCCTTGGTCGGATAGTCTCCGCGCTAGGGCCTCTGAGATGGCGTCGGCTGTCGTGCTTGCTATAGCGTCGCTCAAGAAAGCTTTTTAGTGTTGGCGTTTTTTGTCCAAATTCGTATTCCTCAAGCTGATCTTCGGCCTCAGAGCTACTCAGTGAAGAGTACCCTTTCTCGTCAGATTTATTGCTGTCACTGAGCCAGGCTAACCGTTCAATCTCTGTATCTTCGGTTGCGGTATGCTGTCTGATCCAATCTTCAGTCAAGCCACGAGTCGGTCTGCGAGCTCGATTAACTAATACGCTGGCACTCACAGGGGCAGCGACAGGCTCTGTAGCGGAACGGAGAAAGCTAGGCGGGGGTCGAAGGTGCAGGGAGTGAAAGTCTAATCTCCGAAGAGGCGAGTCTTCGGAAGTATCGCTGCTCAAAGTCCCACGATGCGGGCGTGAAGGGACTGGGTCTGCCGGTTCCTGGTATGGAGAGCCCCAGCTGGTAAAGTAGCGGCTAGATTCCGTACGGGACTCGGAAGGCGGAGTGTTGGAGAGGTTGAGGCTGCGACCGTTGATGGTCGGCTGTGGCAGGGGCGGAAGAATAGGAGAGGAACCTCCTTCCGCCGTCGAGCTCGAAGAGAATGCGGGTGAACCAGGCACGAAGTCGTCGGACTCGGGCGTCGCGGGTATAAAGTCTATCGAAGCAACGGGAGCCGCGCGCGACGAAGACGGTGAAGACGAGAGCGAAATATTTGCTAGATGGGAGAGGCGGTGTTAACCAAGGAGCAACCACGACGTCGGCGGATCGGAGGAGCACACCTGGGGTTGTGAGACGAGCGCAAACGATATCGAAGTCGTCTGCAGCTTCGTCTTCTCTGGCGAACGTCTAGTCGACTGCTGGAGTCTGGAAGGCGATGATCTGCAATATCCTGACGCGACGTGAGGAAAAGTTGGCCAGCACAGATCTAAAGAAATGACATTGTTGATGGACGCGACACGGGAGGAGTAGACATTCGCTCGAGTCGTAGAAGAGCACACGGAGATGGCGTGCAAAGCAAGAGCCCGAATGCGAAGATGAAGGATATCAGGGGAGAGATGACGATGGTGGCGACTTGTTGATGGTGAGGATGAGGATGAGGACGGTGATTCTATCTCTCTCAAGATTATTCTTGGAGAGATTACCGGATTGAGCGTGTCCCCATCAATTTACGTGTGACTGGCAGGATGGACGGATGTCCCTTGAGAGTTCAGGGGTACATTGGGGAATCTGCGGATTTTGCGAATTGTAATTGGTCACGGGCCGTTCCTAGTGGATCCACGTTTGCGAGGAAGGGCCAGGGAGGGCCCGCTTGTTAAATGAGTCTCGAAATGACGGTAAAATGCAGAAAATATATGGTGAATTACTGCGATTTATGAAGGATTTTGGGGATTATAAGTGATGAAGCTGTTCACGATGAGATGCTCTGTAGGACGGAGTGGAAATTGTTTCATTGACGTGTTCGAGTCACATGAGTCCCTAGACCCTGAGGTACCTGTCGCGGCGGAATGTGGGGAAGGGGAAGGGGAAGGGGAAAGGGTCCAGAGTTGAACCCGCGTCCGTCCGTCGCGTCGCGTCATTATGGTTCGGTATGGAGTAAACAAAAGTGGACGGGATATTGGAGACAAAAGTATTTACGGGGTAAATGGGGCAACAAGGTCGAGGATAATCCAGCTTGACGACATTGCAAAACAGTGTATTTCCTTCTACGACATCCCACCATTGCCCTCCATCTAGATATAGTAATTGTACAAACGCGCGTCTATGATATCCTCTCTGCTCCCATCTATCGCTTAACACTCCATGGAGAACTTGGGGGTGCGGTCAGCGTTCCATGCTCCCCAGTGCGTCTCATCGGCAACCGATCCGTCCTGGCCAATGCTCTTTGGCTTCCATGGCTCATCGAAGGCCTCGAAGTAGAAGACGTTGACGCCCCATGCGGTGATGCCGCAGATGGCCTTCTTCCAGTAGTTCTTGGCGCCCTCGAGGCTGGGAACAGCAGCTTGGTACTTGGATCCATCGGTGGGCCATCCTATTGTGTGTTAGATATGTCGAGGACCACAGCGTCATCACTCACCAGTCTCGCCAACCCAGAGCTCAATGCCTCCATCAACCTTGCCAGAGACCTGCTGGATGTGTCCGAATGCCTGCATGATGTCGTCGAAGAAGCTGGCAGTGGCGTTGCTGTCGGTCTGACCTTGCCAGTACGAGAAGCCGTTGGCGAGCAGGATATCGACACCACCGGTGATCAGGGCATCGGCAGTTCCATCCTGGTATTTGTTCCAGCTGTCGGCGGTTCCGACCTTGAAGCCGGGAACGGCCTTCTTGATCTTGTTGATTCTCTGCAAGAGTTCGGGGCCGGTGAAGTTGCCGCGGTACATCGTCTCGGATCCAACGGTGATGGCGTAGACCTGGTCCTTGTAATCGGGAGTGTACTTGATGAGGGCAGCCTCATCCTTCGCCAGGGAGTCGTCGTAATCGGGCCTGTATCGTTAGTTGTGACAAGGTCCTGAGATTTCGTCAATAGCATACCAGACACCCAGGATGACCTTGAACCCAGCAGCCTTCGCGGCAGGGAGAATCTCCTTGGCAGTGTTGCACTCGGAAGCCGAGTAGGTGCGAACAATCTTGCTGCTCTGGACAGTGCTGATTGCCTTGAGGTCGGCTGCCCAGTCGGCTTGGAACTTGCAGCTGCCGTCGGTCTTCTTGTCACCAAGGGCGAAACCCAAGCTCCCAGCGGCCGAGACGACGGCTGGAGCGGCGGCCAGGGCCAGAGGAATGATGGTGGAGAAACGCATTGTCAATTGAAATGAATGTGAGCTCAATCTGTGAGCAGAGTGAGTATATTAAGGAGAGGCTCTTCACGCTGCGTAATGAGTGACAGCGATAAAGATGAAAGTGATGGAGTTGGGTCTACTGAGATGCGAGGATGTCGTCTGTTTCGCGTTTGATCGCTAAGGGTCGAAAGGGGAAGCGGGTGGAGCTGCCTATTTTTAGATTTTGGTGAGTAACATCGAGCTGAGAGCTCAAGGGAGTAAACATCACCACTTTTCCGTACACTTTCTGGTATTTATGTGTGGTATTGAATTGATTTTGCATGCTTGTGGAAATTTAATTGTCGTTGGCTTGATTGCTTTGAATCGGTTGCCACGTTTCACATGTACGGCAGTATATATATTGGCATCCAATTGTCGTATATACAATATATACAAATTATATGCAGTTTAAATATCTACAGGGCCTTACCCTCATGCTTCCACTGCACTTCCAGAGTCCCTGGCGTACATGCGAAATTGTACAAATATGAAGCCGTCCTCGACGATGGTACCCAAAGATCCGATCAACCATGGAAGGTTCGTCATGATATACTCCCTCTCAAGAGAATGGAGCAGGATGCTGACTCCGTATGTGATGTTACCCATTAGAGACAGAACAAAAAACAGAAGAGACAAGCCTGCACGCGTTAGACACAAAAGACGACAAAGTGAGGAGAGTGCCTACCTTCGCACGACTTATCCCTGTAATTCTTGATAATCTGGGGGATTCGGGCACTGGAACGTTAGCATACTTTCAGTCCGACTTCAAAGGCCGAACTTACCCAAGATAGCACACGGCGCTGAGGTATCCCAAAACACTGGCTCCCACGGCCACATGTTCTTTGCTAGGTACGTCCCCAGGATGATTCGGCGTAGGCCTCCATACCCCAGACCGCCACGCAATGGCCCAGCCGGCTGTTCCAACCAAGATGACCATGAGGATGCTCCAGGTGTTCCGCTTCCACGAACTTCCACTCCCAGAGACGTCGTCCTCCAAAATCTTCACAAGAGAGTCACGTCTGGCCCCCGACGAGTGACTGAGATGAGTTGAACTACGACGACGGGCACCTGGAGCCCCTATCGACTCGTTGCTACGCTCTCGAGCAAGCAGCGGAGCCTCTTCAGAGTCGGGTGGTGCTGCCGCCTCATTGATTGCCTCCCTTCGGGCATTGAGGTGGTTGTAAAACAAACACTGGCTGATGAGCACAAAATCTGCAAAGCAAAAGTACACTGCGAGGGCAGTGACTGTTGGGACTAGGCCAGCCCATATTGCCCCTAACGTTGTTAACTTGGGATGAAACAGGATAGACATCACGGGTCTCCAACGACCGAGGCAATGCTGGAAACAACGTACCAGCTAGATTCGTGATATCTCCCAGCAGCCAGACTGTCAGGAAAGCCAGCGAGATGCCATCCGCACTGCCTGTTGTGTAGTTGAGGATCAACTGTGGCACCTGTGTCCAGTATTAGAGTCTCGTCGTAGAACCGAGGTCAGGTGAGCCCACCAGCAGGAAAATCCAAGTAGCCAAACTGATGCTGCCAAACACGCCGGACAAGGCCTCATTCCATGACAACGCCTTCGAGAGCGCAACGAGGGCAAAGGCTGTCGTCGTGGCCATTGCTGCCGGCGATGATGTTGAGATGAGTGCGTCGTTCTGCGATCTTGATGGCTCTTGATGGTTTCGTTATGCGATCTTGATAAGGCAGACTCTACTGCAATCTCGATAAGGCAGATAGTCACTTGATTGGCTGGTCAGGAGACTAGGTGAAGTCAGGGAACGTGACAGTCACGTGACACAGCGACGAATCTACACAGTGCTTACATAAGCAGCGCCTTGAACGAAACCGACGAGAAAACGTATCTTTCTCTTCCGGATACGGTATTTAGTGCTGACTTTACAGCGGTTAGTGGGATCGTATTCATTGTTGGGATTACTCTTTATTAGGGAAGGTCGTTTTACTTTCGATCGAGAAACTTAGTGAGATCTTGGTCTCAGAAGTCACGGGATTATGCTTATTGCTGTACGCGGCTGTTTGATGGTATTCAGTGCGGCAGTTCACTCTGAATTGGATGATTGATTGCTATGCTCTACGCGGCTGTTGGATGGTATTAACTGCGGCAGTTCGCTTTGAATCGAGAGATTGTTTGCTATTGCTCTCGACATCCAGAGCTTCAGTGGAATTTGGGCTTTGGATATAGAAATCACGGGATTACTCGTATGGCTCTGTCAGGCGGCTTATCTACTACCCAGAAAAGACGTAGTCATACCTGGAGCGTCCTCACAGTCTAGAGATTGGCTCTTACGTTTCCGAACTCGAGTCGTCGTCGCCGGCATGGAATTCAGGATGACGATAATTTCGGCCTGGAGTTTCCGCATGGCTTTCTTCGTCGGCGACCCACAGTATGCCCACTTTTGCTCCGCATACTCCGTATTTTCAGCGAGTCCGTCCCTTGCTATCCCCCAATCTCACGTTACATAACTTGCACAGCTGGCGACTCCAAAGGATCATTACTCGAGGCACTAAAATGCCTCAAGGATGATACCCCGGCCCATCCCCTGCCATGTGCTGGAGCTAATACGGAGGTAGTGGCGCCGTCAAGTAAGAGCCAAGCCGCCACCAGGCGCATGGTACAGGCACATCCAGCCTATAGGACTCAGCAGTGGCGTCCAGGATGTCTGGGGGTGGAGGATGTCAGAGCCTTTTTGGCGCAAGCCACAGCCTTTCCGTGGAGGTCACAGCGTCGTACTTTGGATGTACGTGGGGGAGTTGACATTCAGAAGATGGCGGTTGCGAAGGGGTGATGGATCAGGAAGTCGATGCGAAATACGACGGGGTGACGAGTTGATGCTGTGGGAAACAGGGAAGGAAAGACTCTGCACGTTGTTTCCATGCCGAATTCCGATCGGCAACGGGAAAAAATGAAGATGCGACTAGAGGGAAAACCGATGCCGAGAGTAGAGAAAGTGGATGGGGCAGTGGCGTTCCTGATTCGGGAGGGAAATTTCATGTCTTGACGACGCTGGCGCGGAACGCTGAACGCGGGCCCTGGATTGATGAAGGCCGGGTCGTCTGAGGGCAGGAGGAGGAGACTCGTTCGCACCTTCCGCATTTACGCTGCGAACGGTGTTCAGTTCGTGCAGGCCAAGAAGAGCCGGCCGAGTCAGATCGCTCAGATCAGCTGTAAACAGCCCGAATGTGAGTTTACAAAGTAAAATGACAATCTCTAATCCCGGGTTAGTGGGATGTACGAGGAAGTGACGGGCATACGAGACACAAGAGCGTGGGGTGGATTTCTTGAGGGAGAAATCCAGGTGCTAGGGGGCTAGGGGTATTGGTTGGGGGGGCTTTTGGTGTTCTTGGGTGAGCGTGGGTGTGGCTTGGGTGTGCTTGGTTTCCCCTGTGATTTGCTTGGAAGAGCGCAACTTGGTGAAATTTCGGTGGAGTTGACGCTCGCGTGGCGTGACATCCCTACCACTAAAGCCACTGAAGTTACTTCCAACTGCCATAGTGTGTGTGGTACGTCATGCGGCATCGCAACGCCATCGACGTCATGGCCGCCCGTCGCCCCGCCGCCCCTCCCCCCAAACAGCCTTACAAAAAATGTGCTTGCGGTAAGTTCAGGCCATGGCGGCAACACACGGCAACACAAAGAGCCACAGCTGACGGTCTACAGTTCTACAGAGAAAGACAGCGCATTTGCCGTGCATATCAGAGTATTACCGTACATCATATCGACTATCCCTGTGTCTTGCAGTCACCATCCTTCCCAGCGTCCAATGATCCCAGCGATCTAACGGCCTAAAATCTCGTGACAACGCTAGCCGCAGACTTTTTCCACCGACTTGTCCCAGCTGTCCCCTTCATTCGCTGACCACGCCTTGACAATTCGTTGATCTTGGTTGTCGCCCTCTCCGTCTGGGGCAAGTTCCCTGCTGGTCTCCCTAGTCCTTCCCTGTTGGACCCTTCCGGCGTGTTGCGACGGCGTCGAATCCACCGACAATCATTGCCCTGTTTATGAATCGTGCGTATATTTGCGTGCTTCGCATTGGCTGCCCTCGACAACCAACTCCCACACTGATCCCACACCGGATGCTTGGCGCCAATTCCAGGCGGACCAAAACAACCCCGAAGCGAAACAAGCGTTCGTGAGAGTCCATCCCGTCTCTCGTGTGCGCCGCTTCTTCGCCTTGTCGGCTATCTGTGAATCTCTTCTACTATTACTTCTCCTAACTTCCTTCTCTTCTCTTCCTCTTCCTATCTTTCCATAATTCGACGTCAAACTCTTTTTACTCACCAAATAGAGTCTCATTTATCACTTATACCTCCTGCACCTCCACACACTCGACTACATATCAGTGGCATTGGGTAAGTCGCTCGTGTCGCGTGATACTGAACCTGTGCTCTGCATAGCATGATATAAAAACGGCAATCCCATTGCTCGAGACGACCTGCCATTGATTTGACATTTGTCACCAAAAAAAAAGGATCAAGCGTAGTTTGACAGCTCACGACATTTTTTTGATAAACAGATCGTAGCCGACGACTCACCACGCAGATCACCATGCCGCTCTTCCTGAACCCGTTTGGGAAGCATGACATTGAGGACTACCCAGAAGTCTACGTCCCGCTGGCCCTCAGTTCCCGCACTTCCGATAAGGAAAAGAAGTCCGTAGGCGACGCGCCTGCAGACCGCGAGAGCGACCAGGAGAGCCACATCGGCAGCCATGGCGGCAGCAGCGAAGATGGCTTCACCATTGAGCAGCTGAGAGCCGAGATCGACGCCGAGATTGCGGCCAGCGGCACCGACTCGGCCTACGACCGCAAATCAAAGGTCATCAACCGCGCGATCCAGGATATCGGCATGGGCCGGTACCAGTGGAAGCTCTTCGTTCTGTGCGGCTTCGGCTGGTTGGCTGATAACCTCTGGCTCCAGGGTGTCGCCCTGACGCTGACCTCGCTCTCGGCCGAGTTTGGCATCTCGGACACTCAGGTCCGCTTCACCACGCTGTCGCTCTTTGTGGGACTGTGCATTGGCGCCGTCTTCTGGGGTGTGGCCTGCGACGCGATCGGAAGACGCCCTGCCTTCAACATTACCCTCTTCATGGCTGGTGTTTTCGGCCTTGCGGTTGGAGGTGCCCAGAACTGGATCACCGTCTGCGGTCTGTACGCCGCGCTCGGATTAGGCGTTGGCGGCAATCTGCCAGTCGACGGTGCCCTGTTCCTCGAGTTCCTGCCATTTGCCAGCGGGAACCTCCTCACCATGTTGAGTGTCTTCTGGCCAATCGGTCAGCTGATCGGATCGCTCATCGCCTGGGGCTTCATCCCAAACTATTCTTGCGACCAGTCGCTCGGGTATTGTGGCAACGTTGGCCCCGGCGAGGCGTGCTGTACCAAGGAGTTGAACATGGGCTGGAGATATCTCAACTTTACCATGGGAGCCTTCACCTTTGCCATGTTCATCTGCCGCTTCTTCTTCTTCCACCTGTTCGAGTCGCCGAAGTTCCTGCTCAGCCGTGGCCGTCAACGCGAAGCCGTCGCCGTCGTCAGAGGCATTGCCTTCAAGAACAAGACCAAGACCTGGATCAGCGAGGAGGTTCTCGACGCGATAGGAGGTAGCTTGGAGGAAGTCCCAGACCAAGTACTCTCCACAAAAGACATCATCAAGCGCCAGGTCGAGAAGTTCTCCACCAAGCGCATCGCGCCGCTCTTCGCCTACAAGCGCCTTGCGATCAACACTGCGCTTTTGTGGTTCTGCTGGACCGCGATTGGAATGGGTTACCCGCTGTTCAATTCCTTCCTCACCCAATATCTCACGAGTGTCGACCCCAATGCCCCTCCTACGCCAACAGACATTGTGTACCGCAACTACGCCATCATCTCCATATGCGGTGTCCCCGGCTCCATCATTGCCTGCTACACCGTCAACATCAAGTATGTCGGTCGCAAGGGCACAATGGCCATCGCCACCCTCATCACGGGCATATTTTTGTTCCTCTTCACCATTAGCACAAACCCTGACTTCCAGCTCATCTTCACCTGCATCGAGTCCTTCTTCCAGAACATCATGTACGGTGTGCTCTATGCCTACACGCCAGAGGTCTTCCCAGCGCCGAGCCGCGGGACTGGGTCTGGTATCGCCAGCTTCTTGAATCGTGTTGCCGGTATTTGCGCCCCCATTGTGGCCATCTATGCCAGCAGCGGCAACCCAAAGGCGCCCATTTACGCAAGTGGCGGACTTATGTTTGCGGCGTTTGTCGCCATGTTGGGATTCCCTATTGAGACGAGGGGGAAGCAGAGTTTGTGATGTGGTGTGTGATGTGTTTTAGACTAAGATACCTTTTTGCTTAAATGGAGTTTTTTTATGTGGGATTTTGTATGCAGAGTGAATTTGGATAAGTAGAACAAATTCGTGCCGCTTACTTATTTGTATGGGATGAGAATTTGTATGTGACGAGAAAACTATAAAAGCCAACCTTTTACCTAGTTTACTACCTTTCCTCCTTCTTTCTCTTAACTATCACAACCCCACAAACACCCCAAGTCACGCCTATCCGATAACCAACACGCATCAAACACGCAACACGCATCCAGCCAACACGCATCCGACTAACACGCATCCGACTAATATTTCGTCTCCAACCAACACGGCTCTAAAAAGTCCATGATCATGGCTGACAACAACGACCTTGAGACTGGTAAGCCAGTGTCGCAACCGTATAAATTCAAATCTAATATTTATAAATAGTAACGAAGACTAAGGACCTTTACAAAGCCATGTATGAACTTGAGAAGAAGCTGGTCGCCACTCTGAAAGCCGAACTCGAAGATGCGCGCGAGAAGGAAAAGGCCATGGGTGCGAAGTATGAAAACCTCCTCAACCGCATCGTGCGCGTGGTGCCTGGACACGTGACCGACGTTACAATCGAAACTGCGAGCCCATTCATGGCTGAGGAAACACAATACCACGCCGATAAAGCGTGGGATGAGGCCATGGAACGCATCGACAGGGAGTTCGAGAGCGAGTAGGCGTTGGGCGTGTCTGGTATTGCTGGTTTTGCAGTTGTACGTATGCCGTACTCTTGTCCAACTCGCATCGGTTCTAACTTACAGAAGGAAGATCTGAATACCTATCCGTTCCGTGTCCGTTACGAGAGCTGGCAGTCTGAATCGTAAGTACCTCATCTCGCATCCGTCTCATACCAGTTCTAACTTTTAGTTCTCGTCCAACTCGCATCCGTCCTGCTATATAGAAGCCTCTGACTCTTATCCGACTACACCAGCTCGATCCCAACTCCTCTGGCGCCTCGTGCTCCTCTTGCTACCCGTCCTAATATGTAGCGGTTGAACATGTACGTACTACATCCCCTGACTATCCCACATCCGTTCTAACTTATATATTATAGATGCCTCCGAAACCCGTTATATCCTCTGCATTAACGAGACCGAATTTCTTTTGAATGTATGTAAGGGCTTCCATTAGTTCGGCCTCGAGGCGGTTAAAGTAAATGGTTCTTAGAGCTTTCGGTCGTATGCTCTGCCCTGCGCATGAGATCTGGCGTAATGTGGCCATGATGAATTTTAGGCTTGCTCGCCACATTCCATCGATCATAGAGTCGTGGTTCACCGTTCTCTCTCTCTCTCTGTCTCGGATGCGCTGAGCTGCTCTTTCCTCTGCGGCCGCAGCGGAAATGGTCATCGCGCCGTTATGCATGGCACCGGTGTTCTTCGACTGATAATCAGGGTCGGAACTATAGCCGAAGTCGGACCCGAAATCGAACTCATCATCGCTGGTCGACCCAAGGTCTGTTGGGTAGCCGGCGTCACTTCCTTCGCCGATGGCATGTTGGACAAAGAGATGCTCTTGGTACAAGGCCGTTCTGTCCTCAATCCGAAAGCAGGCTTCATTAAGTATCACGTTGTTATATTCGTTGATCGCGTCTTGGTGGTTTTCTCTGCGCGGCTCTAGGTGCTCGACCTAGGCGTGAGCATATGCCTTTGCTTCAGCGATATTGTCCGTATCTAGCCCGTAGTAGAGCTTTGAGAACCAGCCTGGTGCTCGGCGCATGACCTATATGAACCATATAATCCCTTTCTGTTGTCCTCCCGCTGGGTCGCCGCCGGTCATCATATGCCGATCCATGCATCACTTGCCCATGGATTGTAATCAACTCCCTAGCAGCGTCATAAATCGTCTGCCCGCCCCGGGTAAGTGCTTGGCTGTAGTGTTCCATCTTTAGCAAAGCCCATATAGCGGTGGAGTTTGTCGATCGTAAAACCGTCCGTGTTTCGCTCTGCTAATATCGTCATCAGCGTTTTTACGCCATCTGACAGCGGCATGTCCATTGGTATTACTCCGATGGTGAATGGTCTAGAGCCGATAACTGGGTCCCACGTCCGGCCGATTATTTTCGGGTATCCCATAGGGGTCGACTCAAACGGAAGTGCGTATGTGGATCTCGCCGTTTGGGCAAGGTATGCCTCGAGGGATGGCCCATTAACGACTTGTGGTGCCATTATGACGGGATGTCGCAAGGGCGTAGGTAAGTGACTCGGATATCACGAAGAGAGCAATTTAGAGAGCGTAGAATGGAGGTGAAAGGCGTATAGGCAAGGGGGTCGGAGCCGCGTATAAGACTACATCGAGTTAGAAAGGATCGTGTTGAATAATTAGAGTAGACTTACTAGGTACCGGACAGTATAAGACTTGGGTCGGAGACCAAGATGGCACAGGACAGTGTGCACTTTGAGGAAGCCGACGCGAAAGACTTGGGGTTGGCGACCGCAATCGGGTTGGTAATGCTACGTCAAGTTAGGTCGATGCCCGATAGATGAAGAGGATTAGGACCTACCAAAGAAAGTTGTATTGATTTCAGAATGCGTTGAGCACCACCACAGGGAATGACCAGAGTCGAGTTGCGCAACCTAAGGTGAGGCTGTACCAGGTAGCGCTGTTAGGCTGGGATCGGATAGCTGTCCGTTCAAGCACAAATGTAGTGGTAGCCCAAGTATGCGGTAAGCGTATCGATCAGATATCCAGTATTGGCCAAGGAGAACTTTCGGCATAGGGAAGAGCAGCAAGGAGAAGATTTCGAGTATGAAAGGAAGAGAAATAGAATATGAGAGAAATGGTTAGCAGGGGGGTATATATATAGGGAGAAAAATGAAGTTTTACGAAAGTTAAGCCGTAGAGTTAGGGATAGTTGGGATTCCCCTTTTCTACGCATAATTTCATATTCTGTGTAGTTTTTGCGCAAATTTTACATGAGGGGAAAGAAAGTGTTACGAAAATTAAGCTATGAGGTTAGAGATAGGGATTCCCCTTTTACGCGCAGAATTTCATATTCCATACGGTTTTTGCGCAAATTTAGTATCCTATAGCACCGAAATATGGCTTTTTATAATATAGGGGAAATGAAGTGTGTTTCTCCCCACGCCATGCTATAAAGGCAATTAAGTATTAATCCCCGCTATTTAGTACTTAGACAAAGAGAACTTCCCTATATATTAGGCGGCAAATGTCGATTCATCCCGGCAAGACAGACTATGTAGTAGGCTGTGGAAGATCAGACATGTTCACACAGAACATGGGACTAGATGAGATCCCATGAAACTGTCAGCTAATATCGATGGGCTTTGGGTTGAGAGCGCGCTGACGACAATGGGTTTGACGGTGGTGAGAAAATGGCGGTGAGAGAGACAACAGCAGAACAAACGATAACAGGGAAACAGCGACAGGAAGGACCAAATATTACGAGAAGTACGTTACAGTCACATGGAGCACCAGGAATGCCCCGGTCCGACCTGCGTGAACGGAGACGAGCTTCATCTTTCCATCTTCAGCGTCTGCGATGTGTACGAGGATTCTATCGCAGGAGTGTAACTTTGGGGATAGTAGAGGGCAGAGCTTCCTGTAAATCTGTCTACTGGAATTCCCCGTAGCGGCATGGGATGTGCCTGGCGGTGTTCTCATAATTTTGCCAGCGCCGAGAGGCAGATCTCTGCATAGATTGCAAGAGGGGATGACGGAGGTTTTCGGCAGGTATATGAGCGACAGCAGATAGTCGACAGTGAGAACTGACAGTAAGAGCTGACGGTAAGAGCGCCGCTCCTCGGTGGGAGTACCGCTCCTCAGTGACAGGGGTAAGCCGATGGCTTGGCAGGAGCACCCGTCTGTGGTACGGGTATAGCCGATATAGTGCGCGCAGACGCCCTAAAACCTTATTTCAATGTCATTAAACATCGGCGTTTCTAGCTGGTGAGAGTTGTATTTATATAACCGTGCTTGAGATTACAGGTTAGTTTGCGTTTTATGTTCAAACAGCAGCGAAGCCCCCCTAAATTATGTAAGGGTAAGTCTTTCCCTATACTATGGGATTTATGCATCAAGTTATAGATTCTGCGCATACTTTATAGTTTATAGCCGATTATGCGCAGAAATCAAGCATGTCCCCTATAGTGCCTATAGTCGTAGAATTTACTACTTTCTCCTGTTAAATGTGCGCAAGTTAGTAGAAAATATGTAGAAACTGCGCAAAAATGGAAATTCCCCTCCTCTTCGCCTTTATTATACGAGGCCTTGTTCCCACGAGTCGAAAGCAGTATGTGGTGAGGTATGGGGACGCGTGGTGGTTGAAATATTCGAAGTTGAGTTTGTGTGAGTTTCGGCTTCTGCGTCTGCGGCGGCGGGGAGCCGAGGATTTGCTATCTGTAGGTTGAATGGGGGGAGGCACGGCGGAGGACCATACATACAGTACTCTACATATATGTTCCGGCCCAACCACGAGTAATTAGAAATAAAAGTAATCAATTGATCTATATAGCTACGTTTCCAGCTGTGTCTGCCCGTGCTCGTTTCCGACGAGGCCTCTTAACTAAAGCTATTTCTGTACGAGTAGCAAGGCCTGATAAATTCCCACAGTCATAGTCATCATTATGACAGTGTACACTACACTCCTTTGCTTCCTTATAGCACCGGCACCGCTTTGTACCACACTGCTGTTTGCACTGACATGATATTCTAACCCGTACGCTTGTAGAAGCCTCTCTAGCTGCAAGCCCTAGTGTTACTTGCTTTGTAGAAGTAGGAATAATGATATTAGACTATAGAGCTTGCTCTACAACTCTAAGTGATTTTGTAGGTATAAGGCGTTGTATAACACCTGAAGGTGTAAGAATGCAATACCTATAAGGGTAAGGCTCTTCTAGAATGCGTGCAAATAGCCTCTTATTATCAGTTGAGGTTCTATCCTCTCGAGGAACCTTTATAGAGACTATTGCTCCTATATTAAAGTGCTGAATATCATGCTTCTTTGTATACTTCCGCACCATAGAAATCCTTGCTCGTTGAGTAGCTACTATAGCTCTCTCAATTACAGGATCTGGTGTAAGCTGAAGCTCAGTTCTAAGCTGAGCTGGAACTCGAGCCCGGGTCCCACACTGAAGCTCAATTCCAATTTCTGGCTCAGAGTGTGAGCTCTCAATTGCGAGCTCAATTCCGAGTTCTGGCTCGGAGTGGGAACTCTCAATTGCGAGCTCAATTCCGAGTTCTGGCTCAGAGTGGGAGCTCTCAATTGCGAGCTCAATTCCGAGTTCTGGCTCAGAGTAGGAGCTCCCAATTCTGAGCTCAATTGAGAGCTCTGGCGCCTGGCGGAGCTGTGGGTCAATTAGAGCTTCGGGCTCAAGATCACTCTCAAATATCGGGCCCATAGTTGGGTCTTCCTGCTCAACTCCAATTGACAGATCCTTCCGGGCCTGACTGTTGAGCCAGTCAATGTATGAGCTCCGCTCTTGGAATAGAAGCTTAGCTGGCGCACACCCAATTGTAGAGTGGATTTAGGTGTTCATAGCAAGCACTACTTCAAGTAGCCCATTCTTCCATTCTGTAGACCCGTGATCCATTTTCCATGCCTAGAGCTTATTCTCAACAACTCCATTTGCCTGCTTAACTAGGCCTTGCGTTTGCAGTAATCGTGGTACTCCATTTACCACCTGAATTCCATACTTCCGTAGTAGAATAAGGAGAGCCCCTTTGAATTCCTTCCCATTATTAGCTTGCATAATCTTAGGAGGTAAGAAAGCTGCAATGAATTGAGCAAAGCAGTCTAAAATTGGCTCTGCGTGCTTGCTTTTCAATAGGTAAAGCTATGTATACTTTGAGAAGTGATCCTTTATATAAAGAATCCACTTATACTATCCTAAAGGCTTGTAGCGCATATTAATTAGATCAATTTGAACCTACTCCTACGCTCGCCCTATAATAATAGGAACTAAGGGAGCTTTTGTAGTATTTAGTCGGTTTAAGGTGTAATTCTTACACTGTTTGAGTATAAACTCTACATCCTCACGCTTTATTCCATAGTACTGTTGCTTAATAGTAGGCTATACCTTGTTCTAGCCTGCATATAGAAGCTTTAGGTGCTCTTGTGCAATAACATCAAACACCTCTGCTTTTTGAACTACATATTGAGAAGTAGGATGTCTTGCATCACTCTTTCTATGTAGCTCATTATAAACAAGTGTAAAGTTTAATATTGTATGGTGTTTAAGATTAACAGCCTCTTTATTTGGTAGTATATAGGCTGCTATATCTTCAAGTATAGTGCGCATATAGCTCTGCTTTTCGTCTGAAAATAGCTCTCGATTATAATAGGTTGTACTATTTATATAGGCTTCAAAAGCAGTACGCACATTGTGTGGAAATGGGTTTATTAAAGCAATAGTAGCCATAATTGCTATTACTATACAGTATATAATGGGGGTATGTTGGATTTAAAGGGCTTTCTACGTTCTACACCGCCACTTACCCCGCTCGTGGTTGGGCCAGCCAGCTCACGAGCGGGCATATTTCGTGGTTGGGCCGGAACATATATAATGGACTGTGATTTCGAGTCGAAGAAACATAGCTTTTCTGCAAACTCATACATCGAATGCCTTGACGCAAACGTGTAATATATGTTAGACGACACTTGCTTTATTCAAGATAATGCTTCTATACATACTGCAGACACAGTTCGCAATTAGTTCTAAGAGCAGAGAGTGTGGACTATAGATTAGCCGCCATACTCTCTAGACCTTAATCCTATTGAAAACGCATGTCACGTAATGAAGTGCCTTACACTCAAGATGTTCCTAGACATTATGGGAGGTAGAGGGAAGTTAGAAGAAGATATTAAAAACGTAGAAGAATGTTTAAAAGAAGCATGGCAAACGTTACCTAACAGTCTATTTGAAAGCTATATTCATAGTATGGAACAGAGGATTAAGATGTGCATTCTGGCAAACGGGTGGCATACAAAGTACTAGTTATTTTCCGTTATTATTAAAAATAAGTATAAGTAATTTATATGTATAACGTACATGTATAGCGAATGTGCAAAACAAGCGAATGTGCAAAAATATCGCGACCACCCTACCCCCTAACTAAACTCGATAATTCCACCACAACATAACATGCCTTTTAAAAATGACGAGAGAGAGTTGACCTTAGCTATCCAAGCTATTCAAAGAGACCCTACGCTACGCCTTTACGCTGTAGCTAAGACCTATTCTGTAGACCACTGCAAGCTTAGTCGCCGTCTACATGGTATGCAACCACGACGTGATATTATAGCCAATTCACGGAAATTGTCAAACCTAGAGGAATCAGTCCTTGTTCAACACATACTCAACCTAGCTGCTAAAGGATTTCCTCCGCGGATGTCTATTGTTGAAGATATAGCAAATCGACTACTTGCAACACGCGACGCGCCACGCGTTAGGTCGCGTTGGGCTTCAAACTTTGTGAAGCGCCACACAGAGCTCTAGACACGCTTCTAGCGCAAATACGACTACTAGAGGGCTAAGTGTGAAGACCCAGAAGTTATCCGTAGTTGGTTTGAGCTTGTACAGAATACAATTGCGAAGTATAGAATCAACGATGCAGATATCTACAACTTTGATGAGACTAGGTTTATAATAGGTGTTATCTCAACTGCTATGGTTGTAACAAGCTTAGACGGGCGGGTAAAAGCAAAGAAAGTACAGCCTAGTAATCGGGAATGGGTTACAGTAATCTAAGGCGTTAGTTCTCAAGGCTAGGCAGTACTGCCATTCATCGTTGTTGCTAGCAAAAACCACCTTGCATCATAGTATGAGAATAGTGGATTTCCAAGCGATTAGGTAATTGCTGTTACGGAAAATGGCTAGACTACAAACGAGAGAGGCATGGATTGGATTCAGCATTTTGAGAAGCATACAAAGGCCCGGAGTGTTAGTGGTTATCGCCTCTTAGTCCTTGATGGTCATGAGAGCCACCATTCAGATGAGTTTGAGGAGTACTGCAAGGAACACAACATTATAACTCTCTGCATGCCTGCTCATTCTTCCCATATACTCCAACCGCTTGATATTAGCTGTTTTGGCCCTTTAAAAAAGGCTTACGGTCGGCAAATTAAAGATATAATGCGAGCTCATATTTCTCACATTACTAAGGATGACTTCTTTCCTACCTTCCACGCTACATTTAACATTGCAATGACAGAAAGTAACATTTAAGGAGGCTTCCGAGGTGCTGGACTTCTTCCATTCGACCCAAATAGAGTGATCTCTACACTTGATCTTAAGTTAAAGACACCAACACCTCCAAGCTCCCGCCCTAGTACCGCTCAACCTTAGGTTTCCTAGACGCTAAACAACCTAATTGAAGCTATGTCACAGTCTACATTTATTAAAACTCGGATTTCACGCCATCAAAATAGCTCTCCAACCTTAATCTATGCAGCTATTGACCAGTTTACAAAGGGCGCATTGCAAATAATGCATCAATTAGCATTATTAAAGGCAGAGAACCAAAACCTACGACAGGTAAATGAAGTACTAAGCAAGCGCCGGAGGGCAAAAAAAACACGCCTACGGCAAGGAGGATCACTTAGTCAACAGGATGCGCAGGATCTACAGGATGAGAGGGACGTTATACAGCAAGTAGAGCAGGAAATAAGGGCAAGTGGTAGTCGCAAGCCGAGGGAAGAAACCCGTGCTCGTCGCTATGGAAAATGTGGTAGGACTAAGCATAATGCGCGCACTTGTCAGATTGAAATAGACACGTCTGAAGAAGAGGTCTCCGAGTAGTTTTAATTGATTTCTAGTGTTGTGGTAGACTTATCACAATTCATATGGGGTAGTTGCGATATTTTTGCACATTCGCTTGTTTTGCACATTCGCTATACATGTACGTTATATCTATTATATTGCTTAATTTTAAAGACTTCCATGAAGGATTGATGTTTTAATTATCATATGTAATTCGTAGGTTATTATGGCGTTATCCGCTTAAATCTTACGTGGCCGTTACTTATGGGCGTTTATTGTAATACCACCACCCATTATACGACAAATTCTTTAAAACAGGAAAGCCCAACACAATTAGCCTGTGTATAACTTATAGTAAATAGCCATCCAAGCCGAATTTAGTGGTAATTCGTATGTAACCGGCATAGTTATGCTTCTTTCCCGCAAAGCTGGGCTAAATACAGTACGTGGCGAGAAATTTATGACCAGGTCTGCGTTAACCCTGATGATTGTGCAACGATAGGTCAGGGACCAGATGCGTTCTGGTGGGGTGTTCATCGGGACCACCCGGTGGACGATCTGTCAGGGGATGGATCATGTCGCTCCCTTTCCTAAAAAGCAACCTCGGTTAACTATTCGCCACGAAAGGCATGAATCATAGCTACTTTGCAGTAAATATCTGTCAAGCTGGGCAGACAAATGGTAATTCCTCCGTCTTTCTCTCCCTTTTGCTTACTAATATTATTATTGCCCTACTAGATCGCCTAAATACGGACGAGAATAAGTTATGAAACGTGACGTGCTAAATAGATACCGCGATTGATGGAAACACTGATCAGATATCCATATACTCCGCAGCTGGCGGGTGTATGTCATCGCATTTAGCCACCTCTTGCGCACGACTGCCGTGGTACAATCCGCCATAACGACATCGTTATCGTCCAGCAGTTAATATATCTTGCAGGGTATGTGGTGGTTGCAATCGTGGGGAAGACGTGTGACATCCCCACTTCCCCACCTCCACACTTTTACCCAACAGCGGTGCATTTACCCAACTACAGTGGTTCTACCCAACTACAGCGACTTTACCAACCGCGGCGATTTTACCCAGCCGCAGTGCCTTTACCCACTGCGGTGCCAAGGGCCGTGGCTTCTCCAGAACTACTGAACTGCAGTGCCGACGGCGGGGTTACAATGGAACCCCAGAATTACCGACCTGTCATAGGCAACCCCTACACGATGACTTACAAGCATTGCCAAGATTTATAGGTCAGATTTGGTGCATATGTGGAACTGTTCGACTCTACGTGCTCAAAACAACATCCGCTCCTTTAGCCATCAGTGATCACACGACAAAATGCACCTGTTCGAGCAGGTTAGTCGTGCGGGTAAAAGGGATAAATGCGTCGGTCACTTTTTCAAAATATGCATATAAGGAGAACGGATCCGTAACAACATTAGCCTTTTCCAGGACCAGCACAGCTTCTCTTCCATCTACACACATCTCTTCGGCATTCTCTTCAATCAACATGAAGATCACCACAGCGTTGGCGGGCCTCTTGGCCACAGCATTCGCCGCCCCAGTCACCGAATCTGCTTTGGTGGAGCGTAGTTCGGTTAACTACGTCCAGAACTACAACGGCAACCTTGGTGCCTTCACGTACAACGAAGGTGCCGGAACCTATTCCATGTACTGGCAGGATGGAGTTAGTAACGATTTCGTCGTTGGTTTGGGCTGGAGCACTGGCTCTGCTCGGTAGGTTGCCATGTCTCTTAACGTGAGTCTCGTATTTAACGTTTGTCAGCTCTATCTCCTACTCGTCATCCTACAGCGCCTCCGGCTCTGGCTCCTACCTCGCCGTATACGGTTGGATCAATTCTCCTCAAGCCGAATACTACATAGTCGAGAGCTACGGCAGTTATAACCCTTGCAGCGGGGCAACGAACCTTGGTACCGTCTCCTCTGACGGAGGCACATACACCGTCTGCACCGACACTCGTACAAACCAGCCATCCATCACGGGTACGAGCACCTTCACGCAGTACTTCTCCGTTCGACAGAATCAGCGCACGTCTGGAACTGTCACTACCAGCAACCATTTCAACTTCTGGGCCCAGCACGGCTTCGGTAACAGCAACTTTAATTACCAGGTCGTGGCGGTGGAGGCCTGGAGTGGCAAGGGAAGCGCCAGTGTCACCATCTCATCGTAAGAGATGATTGACAGTGTCGTCAAAAGACTGAAAGGCCGACTTCTCTTTCACTTAGTGTGATCATCGGATTGAGGCTCGGACGGCTTCGAAGGTCGAGATTGTACATAGTGTGGAGGGATGGAGCTGCTGATGGCTGCGTTTTAAATTTCTTCTATTCCGGCCGGAGACTTGTTCATATTTGCATAAATCAAGCACAGACAAAATGAACTCTTGTTTCTTCCCTTTTACTTCTGCTTGCTAACGTGCGACACAAGCGAGTGGTTCACACAAGCGAGTGGTCCACCCCAATCATCTCTCTATTATAAACTACAAATAACTAATGTGGTTCACATGCGAGCGGAACACACGGGCGAGCGGAACACTGCATTTTACACCAAAAATCGTGAATTTCGTAACTTAGTATCTTGACAACCCTTTAATAATAAGTTATAAAAATATAATCTTAGCTTTTTATAATCATAAAAGCACTCTGTTTGATTTTTAAAGCAATTGGTCAAGTAGTTATTGACAGCACGGACATCACTGAACATACCCCGCACGACCCACCTTTCAAGCCGAGTAATAACAGACACCCCATACTACGGCCTATGTAGTGTTTATAAACCCGGCGTTAGTTCGTTCACGAAACCATGCACTGTTGCGCTACTATTAAATTGCTCCGTCATTGCACTCATCCCCTCCCCCAACAGCCATTGCTTTTAGCCTAAAATGAGGTGGTTAGGGGGGTTGGCATAGTATCGGGTGTGACGTTGATTTGAAGGGAAGACATGTAAAAATTTACATTCTTCAAGTCGTATAAATTGCTAGATAAGATGTATTCTGGTCAGCATCGTACTATGCCTTTGTCGAGATACGTCTGCCTTTTGTATCGTTTTGTCCTAAGAGCCACTCCTATTTACAATTCACCACGCATCTAGCAAGGTAGTTATGCGTAACCGCTTGCTGTCTGTGGTGCCAGGACTACTGTCCTTGGGTGCTCTGCTTAATAGAAGGGGCATAGGCACTGCAGACAATCCCATAATCCAGACCATCTACACGGCAGATCCAGCTAATTACTAATAGTATTCTACCCTCCTAATTAGAGGACTAGGCTTGTGTTAGTTGTGGTATGTTAAAATTTGTAAAGTTAATGCATTTTAGCGTTTTAGTGGGCTACTCGCTCGTGTAGGCCACTTGTACGTGAAATACGTTACATAAATGATAAAAACTATTACGACTTAGTTGCACCATCTACTAGTTAGAAGGACGACTTGCAAATGTTCTACATGATTCCTAAGTGTTTATATAAATTATAATAGTAATTTTAATATTATCTTACCTAAGAGTGGCGAGAGCATGTAAAGTTGAAAATAGAGATCCAATTCTTAATAACTAACACACGCTGCTAACTCTACCATCCTTCATCCTAGGACAAGAGTAGCTGTTATGTATAGGATTCCTCTATTCCATACTCTTTTGTAGGACTCTATACAAACGGAGACCAACGACCTGCAACAACCCACCACAAACATAGAAGCGAAAGCGAGAGAATCCTCCCAAACTGACGTGTGATACGTCAATTATGGGTGCGGGCAACTGCACACGCAGTAACCATGGGTGCCATCTAACAAATGACACTATAGAATTCAATTAGTATATGCCTGATTCACAGACGATAGCAGGAGTAATCATACGTATCCTGAGCAAGCACCGTAACCCGGAATACCCTGGCTCTGACAGCGTGAATAGCAAGCTAACGTTTCATGTTAGCAAAAAGGGAAGCATTTATAAGGATAAATATAGGACTCACAGCTGCTCGTGGAAGAGGTGCAAGTGAGGGTCTGACGCGCCTCCTGTACCATGACTATTAGATGTAGGAACTTAGTATCATAAGCATTAGCTTACAATATTTTCATTGTTGTTTGAGGATTCAACAGGAGCGGCTGCGGCTGAGAGAGCAAAAGCTGTGACAATATATATAAGCTTCATATTAATCGATTTCTTTTGTGTAAGTTATCTTAAGAATGGTGGATTGTATCTTGTTATTGATATCTCGCAATTATCGTCATCTTTATATATTGACGAACGCCATTAACACGGGGTCATATTAGTCCGTATTACCTCTATTTTCATAATGAAAACTAAGGTTTTGTAGAGCTAGAAACACTAGAGAGATCGCGACAATACGGCAAGGCGGTAGCATCTCGCCTAAACACTCAGTATACGGACGCTAGCAATTTGTTCATAGGAATGGAAGATACAGAGGCAAGGCAGAGGGGGCGGGGTATGGTAGTTACGGGAGAAGGTGGATTAGTGTATGTCGTAGATATTAACGGGAGAAGGGGGGAAACCAAGGCCTTTAGCGCACTAGGACAAAGCTTGAACCCCCTCATCTCTACTACACCACTAACAGGGGTATATTCCCCCGCATGACAGCGGCGACTACAACCCTGCTAACGGGGGTATGTTCCCCCGCATGACAGCAGCAAGCAACGATTGCATGCAGGAGCAGCAAGGTAATATCAGTCCGGTTTCTTACCCGGCTTAGTATTCCGTGGTACCAATCCGACCAATGAGAGTGCAATGCGAATATGGGCGGAAGCTCAATTTCCACTCCCTATAACAAATGGAGTTTTTAGCCCATGAATTCCAGATGTCTGTACTCTGCACAGCCCCCTTTTTGTTAAGCCGCTAGTCACAAGCCACGGCAAGGGCGGACCGACTTGCCCCGTGTATGCATTTCAGTTACTAGACAGACAGATTATTAGAATGTGTTAACGTATTTCACATACGAGTGGCCCACATAAGCGAGTGGCCCACTAAAACACTAAGACGCGTCAACTTAACAGCAGACAACATGCTACAACTAACATAAGCTAAATCCTCTAATTAGGAGGGTAGAATACTATTAGTAATTAGTATAATTAAACAAGGCTAGTTCTAAAGTGTTTAAGTATCTATAGCATTATATAATATCCCTTAAACAACACTATGTTAACAAATTTAAGGAATGACTTCTTAATGTAACTCTATTCCTAACTTATAGAAGTTAACTCTATATAAAGAGTTAGCTCTCGTTTAGTATATCCTTAACCTAGATTTATGTAGATTTCTACTCTAGCTATAAGGTATATAGAAATAGCTAACCTTCTACTCTCTAAATAAGGTAAGAGCCCTATTAGGATTAACTAGACTACTAACTTTATAAAGTGTTATATAGAAATTAAAGTAATGTTTAGTTAAAGTATAAGTATAAAAGAGTAAAATGTAAAGATCTAAAGATAATTAAATAGTAGTTCTCTCTTATATAAAACATAGTTATAAAATATAGCATCTTAAAGTAGAATATCTATAACTTTAATAAAGTAGGTTTTATAATAGGAGTTATTACTACTATAAAGGTAGTTATAAGCTTAAGAGTAAAGAGCTATCTAAAGACTATATAGCTAGAGAATAGGGAATAGGTGTTAATTATCTAAGGTGTTAATTTATATAGATAGGCACTCCTACTATTTATTATTTTTAAAGTATAGAATTACCTCTTTATTTAGTATAAGGACTTAAGACAATTAAGTAATTATATTAAGTAAGAATAGGTAGACTTTAAATTTAATTAGGTATAAGTAGATTTAACACTTTAATTAACATATAAGCACTTATATAATTAGAACCTATTATCTTCTTATTCTTAATAGACATAAGAGCTACCTCTTAGCTTAATTTTAGTACTATTATATAAAATAGAAGATAATTACCCTTTATATACTATTATACTTATTATACATTCTTTAGCTACTTAATATAAGCTGCTTTACTCTACTAAAGCTTTTATATAGATGTTAGATTAAAACCTTTATATAGAATAGGCTAAACTATATTATAAAGCTTAGGTTTCTCTTTATATTTAAGGAAGCATTTAAAGCTACATTTATAGAGTAGAACATTAAGAGTAGATTCTAAGCTATAAGAGTAGTTTTATATAAGCTATATAATATTCTTTCTTAGCTTAATCTATACTTAAGAACTCTAACTCCTCTAATAGTTAAGAGTAATAATTAGACTTTAAAGACCTTCTTAAACTATAAAGGAGCTTAATTTTTAAATAGAGCATATTAAGAACTATGTTGTATAACATTAGAATAGCTCTCCTACCTTAATTAATAATGCTATTAGCTACTTTGTTAAAGGGGTGTAAGTTATAATACATTCTACTATTCTACTTAAGGTAGAAGTTAAGGCTCTATAAGCAGCAAATGAGTAGAAAAATAGGAGGGAAAGGAAGTGTAAGAGGTGTATAATGCAAGGGGGTAGTCTCTCTATATAAGAGGGAGAGGATATTGTTTAAAGTGCTAAGGTTAAAGCTTAAGTCTGTATAGAGGTAGCAAGTAAGAGTAGTTGGTAGGTAGGCTCTAAGGGCCAACACAAGCGCTGCGGCTTATGTAGTATTATAGGCCATAACTCCTGTACGTGCGAGAGGCACGAGGATTTAATTACGATTGAATAAGGGTCATTATGTAGGGTGGTGGTGTAGTAGTAGGCAGTAATAGTCAAATTTTAGTGTTTTGGTAGGCCACTCGCTTGTGTAGGCCACTCGTATGTGAAATACGTTAGAGGATATTAGCTGTAGCTAGAGATTCATAGCGAAAACGGCTGTGTATCCCATAGGTGGTAAAATGCAGGCGAAAATAGGGACATCGAAAACTAGAGTATATAGCATAGTATGCAGTAATACAATCAATTGACTAACTAAACTATCTACGGAGCCTACGTGGTGTAAGTAGGCTAGAGTGAGGGCCTGAGCTAAAGCTCTCAAACAGCCTCAAACATGTGATAGTAGCTCCTAGACGTGGCGTAGCGGCCTGCTACGGGCCTAGTCTCACATCCGTAACAGGCCCGGCATCTTCAGCTCCGGGTGCTAAAGCAGGTTAAGCAGATCAAATGTAGGCTGGCGTAGTATAACTCGGCGGGAACAGAGAAGATCAAACGCAGGCTGCCGGTAGAGTAGACCTCGACGGGAACAGATATGGAAGCAGGCCGGCATAGACACATGAGCGAGAAGGTAGAGCTCGGCGGTCGGCTCATAGGTGAAGAAATCAGGGCGGACCAGGCAGACAGGAGAAGAAAAGTGGTTGCATGGCGAGGTGTGATCGCACCAGTCCGTGGGTAATGCGAGCAAGAATGCTGATAGGATCGATTGGGGATGGGGCAGGCAGTGCTCTTAGTTCTTAGCGTGATAGGGGGCCGGGTGCAGCTCACAGATAACAGGAAAACGCGAGGACACCAAGGCGAGGCTATCGAATCATGCGCGTGGACAAGACAAGCAGGGCAGGCATGATAAATGACGAGGGGATACACAGCGAGGTGCAATCGCCCAACCCGTGAGGGATGCGAGAACAGCAAGTTTGAAGATCGAGACGATCGAATTAGTGCATGGTCGAGCTGGGCGACGCGATCGGATCGTGCGCTGTGGGACGGGAGACTCCTTACTCCCGAGCGTCGTCTTCATCCGAAGCCAGCTGGCGGAGGTGCTTGAACAGGCGATGATATCTTCGCTGCGCTGCGAGGTTGGAGTCTAGGACGGCAACGTGCTCCTCGATCTTGTCCGCCATCTCCTCGCAGGAGTCTTTGATGCGCTGTTCGACGATGGCCCTTTCGCTGTAATGCCGGCAGTCGAGGCTTTTGCCTCGATCGTCCCCTAGGACTCTTTGCCACTCTGGTCGGTAGGCGCCTAGAGGATTTTGAGGCTGTTCACGCCCTGGACCGAGGCGCCTGCCTGGTTTGCGTTAAATCCCCATCCTCATAGAGCATAAGAAGAGGCGAACCTTGATATCAGGCATTCGGCCATGTCTACAGCGTGTGGGCTAATGATACGCACGACTGGAGACCCCTGGATGGAGTATCTGTCGATGAAGAGGTGCATGACGCTTACGTCGAAGAGGGTCATGATTTTGTTAGACTCCTGTGAGACAGAGTAGTTTGGATGAGGAAAGCGGAGCTACTCAGCAGGGTGCTGAGAGGGTCGCTAGTAAAAGCCAGACCCTCACGATTAAGATACCCGCGCTTCCCGTAGGCCTCAGGAGACTGCATCATGAGACTGGTTCCGCGTGTAATACGGTAAATAAGGTGTTGGACGCGGATTTGGGGACCTATATCAGCGCACCGGTATAAATAGGCAGGCCTGTAAATCCCAGGATGGACGCAAAGAGGCGGCTAGAGCCCGCGTGGAGAAAAAGCCCGGCTGCTAAGGCCATGGCGCGAATGGTGTAATCTCCTGACGTATCCGTCCAGCTTAGATATGTTAGAATCCGATTATTAAGATCGTCAAGCTTCGGGTTCGACCCCTAGCTTCCGCGCGCCGTGATAAGACACCGACAGGTGGGACGACTAGTAGGACGACGAGTAGGACGACTAGTAGAACGACGAGTAGGACTACCTAGAGCAAGCCACTGTGTACGAGGACCAGTGAAAGACGACGGGGCCAGGCCCCACGGGGCTCGAACATGCAAGAATCAGGAGGAATTGATTTCGGTTCCTCCGGGTCATCTAGGAACCCTGGTGAGGTCTTAGAAGGCGTGAGTCGCTGGTATTGTTTAAGACCGAGTGTTTCTCCAGGAAGGGTCCATTCTGTTAGCCTCCAACGCAATGGCGAACGATTTTGACGCAGACTTCTCCATTGATCTAGTTTTGCCTGGACTGTTTGTGAACCAGCTAGGCGAATGCAATGAGCTCTTTAGGCTTAACGTGGGCGGCCATGTAAGTGCTGCCTCAACAACTCCGAAAGGTTCTGTAGGCTATAGAAGTAGGAGCGTACATAGAGCATCCGTTAGTAATAGTATGGATGGAGCATCTATCAGCGAAACAATTCATGCTAATGAGACATTTGAGGACGATGACGGCAACGATGGTCTCTATGGCAATCAAACGTTGATGTCTGTTGATGAAGACGACGATGAAGAGGAGATCTTTAAGGAGGAAGATCCGCCAGCAGGTGCAGAAGACCCTCTGTCGTAGAGGGTGGACCATTCTACTAGAGACCATAAGCTTAAGGGTAAGTCCAACCCACCACTCTGTCGCGGTTGAGCGAGACTGAAATTGAGCAGCAAAGAATTTTATTGCGAAGACGGAATCAACAGGCTTCAATGGGCCGCAAGCGCTAGAGATAGTTCACTAGTTGTACACTATAGGTTACAGCAGTCGTCGCGGTGGGTTGAAGGCGGCTGATGTCGACGACGAATACCATCCGCTCTTCTTCCTCGACTATATCTACATTGTTGGGCGGCCCCTTAGGCCTATGACGTGGAGGAACGAGCGCTTCTTTAACAATGTCACCGTTACGTTTAAGGACTAGCAGGAGCTATACACGGCCAAGGTCCAATACAAGCTGCCCTTCAACCTCTAGAACCAGACCTTTAGGCTAGCCGTGGCGTCGTCGAGAGAGAAGTGGTTTATAGTGATGCACCTAATCATGCTGCCGGCCGTGGAGCTACTGTCCTCGCGACAGGAGCAGTTGAAGAAACAGGCGAGATTGAGCCAGCTTAGCGCGCTTATGCTGCATCATGCTTGGGTTCTGGCGTTGTACATCAAGGACGTCTTCTAGACTAGAGAAGTCATAGGGGAGAGAGTCGAGCCCTCGTGGATGTTAAATAGCCCCCTCTTGTAGACGCTAACGGGCGATATATGGACTATATTCTAAGAGCGGTTTATAGAAGACTGGCCACTGCTCGTGGAACAGCACTTATACGATCCGTTCTAGGCGGAGAACTAGCCTGCATTTCACGCCTACGACTACGGAGCTAATATTGAGATTAAGGTTAGCGAGCGGTTGGCGTTGCTAGAGAAAGAGACTCGTCTCCGAACGGATGATGACGCGGCCGCCGACAGTAGGGACGGCTCGGACTCTAGATCATCATGTGAAGGGGACGACGAGGGCCTCGGTAGGAGAGCTGACGAAGGGGTCGCTAGGAGAGCTGACACTACGACCCATGGTAGACACCGGGGGTTAGAGAGAGGGGATTAGCGACTGGATTCCAATGACTCGCCTAATGCGGCCGATAGCTTGTACTCGGATGGACGGCGGGATCTGATGACAGAGCTCGATTCGAAGTACGACCTTGAGAATGTTAGCAGCATCTCGTATGCGCTAGCGGTCGACCTACATTGCCTCGACTCTAGGTCGCCTGACCCCAAGAGGCAATCCGCATATTGCATGCTTGCTGACCGCAACCGCGTCCGGGACAAATATGCGAAGAGCAGCGGGGTGTTAGGGCTGACGTTCTACCTAATGGCGCTCTATCTGGTGTACAGCAATTTCACGTAAGCCAGCCCTCCTCAAGACCTTTATGCTGCTTCGTATTCTAACAGAATACGCGAAAAGAGTCCAAGCTTCAAATGAGTGTGTCGTAGGACGCGTCGGATTCCGACAGAATACGCGGAAATCGTCCGTGCACCAACCCCTAATCAGGGGTTACCCTAATAACCCTCCTGGACCGCAGTTTTATAGCAGACAGACCGACACAATCGATCGACCTGTACACTGAGGAGCTCACAAGGCACATGATAATGGACTTTAAGAAGCTCTTCAGTCGCAAGGTTTTACTCAGTGCCCATCTAACTAATGAGCGCAATTGTTCTAACTGAGTCACAGAATCGTAAGATTTCTCGTCCGAAGCGGCCAGAATATCAGGACAAAGACCTTCAGCCACGTCTTCCCAAAATTCGTGAGCGAGCTTTGACTCTATATGACCCTAGTCAACTTGCATCGGGGCTCTTGTCGAGGCTGCCGATCGAACTTCGCCTTCGCATCTACGACGATGTCCTCGGCCATCGCAAAGTCCACGTGGCCTTCGAATTTGGACCGCGCGAGTACCGTACAGACAAGAAGAAGGAGCATTTAGAGTGGCGATGGTGGCACTGCATTTGCACGTGGGACCAAACCAAGGGGTATGATCACTCCTGGAGGATCTGGCGGGATGGATGTAGATGGGCAAATCTTGGTGGGGATCCAGGACCCCCAAACGGAATGATGGGCAAACTGAAGCTCGATTTTGCGATTTTGCTGACATGTCGACAAATGTAAATAACTGATATTTGAGCTGCTCTGGTTCCACATTCTCGGGGAGGCTGCTAACTCAACGCAAGGTATTCAGAAGCAATCGACATCCTCTACAGCACCACGACCTTCGACTTCGACACTCGACAGCTTCTTTGTGACTTTTCGTCACTAGTGCTCCCACAACGCTTCGCACTTATTAGTGCCATCGAGATGAAATGGTACTTTCTCAATCTAGGCTGCTCGGTCATCCCGGCCAAAGACAGGCAGCTTTATCACGACATGTGGGCTATGCTTGCACGTATGCCCAATCTCCGGCACCTCGAGATTGCGGTCATAGCCCATGAATGCCCCAATCCAGCACCAGCTGATTTGAAGGAAGTGTGGCTAGGACCTTTAAAGCAGCTGGGTAAAATGGATGTTTTTGAGGTACTGGTCCCCCAGACGTATGCGACGCATTTGAGCGGTAATGAGGGATCAGATTACCTCCCTTCGTCGAATTTGAGGAATTTGAGCGTTGATGAGGGATCAAATTTCACGCTAATAGCGTTTCCGGATATTACAACAGCAAGGGCGTGTTTTGGGTCTTCGGCCAATGTATGATTGTCACCTAGATGTGCACTAGCTTTGCATTATGAAAGGACAAATAGTTTGTTTTGTATACACCTAGAATTACAAGTTTATTGCAGACATAGAGGGTCTATATTAATGACGATTGGAAGTCCTCATGTAAACCATCTCGCTACAGTCTTATAATTCCTCGATTGTATACCACATACCATTGGGATGCTATCAATCTCAAAGGTCATGAAGGTATATATATCTACGACGACGGGACTGGTACGGGCGTGCCAGTCGTAATGGTCGTCGCTGGCCCATTAAGACCAATACAAACATAAACATGGGCTTGAAGTCCGGTACAGTCTGTTTTTACGGCAGGCTTCAAATTGTTAGTACAGAGAGGAGCATGTTGTAGATGGTTTACTTACATTGTAAGAGTAGAAGCTATCTATAGAACGCATGCCAGTTAGTATGCACTGAGATGGAAACATATTTGAACTTACTAAGAGGTATGCCCGCCTCAGCTGCTAGATTGTAGCATCCGTCGCCACTTTCGACGTAGTAGAATCTCTCGCAACCACTCACCATGCTCGGCTGCATAATAGTCAGCCATCCTCGTCTCATAATCTTTTTGGAGTTGTTAAGTCCTTACCTGGACAGGAGACGGTGTGACAATCCCTAGCGCTCCTGTATTTGTTAGAGAAGCACCAGTAGTTGTACTTGGTGCTGTAGTACAGCCTATCGCTCCACAGGTGAAACAAGTCGCATCATAAAAATCAAACAGTGTACTTCCAACGTTGTTATTAAAAGCGTTGGGTCCATAGTGCAAGTTGCAGTTTCTCCCTTGAATGAAATAGATGTTTGTACAGCACGAAGTTGCTAGACACTGTGAGCTACAAGCAGCAAGACTTGTAACATAGCTGCTGCCGGTAACATATCCAATAAGAGTTCCAGCACCTGAGGCGGCAATTGAGGAACCCTTAACTCCACAAAGGGCGTTTGAAGGTGTTGGTGAGACTATCCCTGAAACGGTTTGACAAGGAGATGAAGTTGGAGTTGTTGTTGAGCTACTGAAAGCTGAAGTCTGAGTGTTTGGAATACTGCCAGTAGTTGTACCTGAAGCTGTAGTACTAGTTGTGGAGTTGTCTGGCTTTCCAACACAGATATAGTAGTCTTGTGTCAGGCCCGAGCAGTCACTGCCAAGTGCTGGCTATGAGCGCGTTAGTAGTATTCCTGCCAAAATTATTTGAATCTCGAAGTCCACTTACATTGTAGCTTTCCAGCTGAGCGACTGTGATATTATTTTTTGTCGCAATGGAGTCGCAGGTGTCTAGTCTGTACACAAGTTCAGTGAATGTTATAGTGCACAAAGTTAAAAACGAAATCGTGACACATACGTGCCAACGAACCAGTAATCCGCGCAGGCGGCTGGAATTCCAGGCTGTTCTGGCTGGGGGCCAACTCCATTTGACGGCAGTGGCGTAGAGCTATAACTGGTGGTCCTTGTTGTTGGCGTTGACGGAATCGCAACACAGTAATAATCACCAACTGTAAAACCTGAGCAGTCTGAGAGAACAGCTGGATTCCACGTCAGGAAATCTGCTGCACTAAATGTGCCAAATATTTCAACAACTAGCTGGCAATTGTCTCCGCTATCTGCTCGGTACCATGAGACACATGTGGATACAATGCCAGTCTGCGTCGCGGTCGGTGCCACTGTTGCCACAGATGGCAACGGAAGTGTACCGTTCATGACACAGTAATAATCCCCTGGAATTAGCCCGGAACAATCAGATCCAAGTGCGGGCTAACTTGTTAGTTGGGCACAGGTGTCATAAAGTGTTGTGACTCACATTGTATTCATTGAGTTCATCTAATGTCACATAGCCCTCTTTCTCTACAATCGTCTCACATGTATCATTTGCGCTGGCCTGATAGAAAGCAAGGCAGCTAGGTGGGATGCCGGTCTGCGTCGGTGATGCAACAAACGATGTATTAAGTGTTGGAGCAGTAGTTGGAGTGTATGATGGGTACCAGTATGAGGTTGCAGTAGAGTTATCTATAGCACTTGTCTGATATTGAATTCCTGAAAAGATTCAGCTATGTTTCCTGCCTAGATTTAAATTAGCAGAATCTCACCAACGCAAACATAGTAGTTAACATAAAGACCGGTGCAATTAACACCAATGGCTGGATTCCATGATATGCTTGATACTCATGTCAGCTCTTTGTTTAAATATGTTAAAAAGCTCGGGGGATTTGTACAAGTCATCCATCGACATGAAGGTTGAATAGCTACCCTGTATACTATCACACGTATCACTTGCAGATACCAGATCCCAGTTATTGCCTGTGACAGTCGGTTAGCTTTGCCTACCCGAAGAAACTCAGATTCTCACAGTATGCTACTTGCCCAGCCTGGGTATGAGTCGGCGGCCAGGACGTGGCTGTTGCAATTGTAGCCGGCACGTATGAGCTCGTTATTTGCGAAAGTATAGAGTAAGTTGAAGAGATGGTAGGAGAAGTATGGCTTGTAGTCGTCTTTGAGGTACTTGTAGGGCAAGCTGCTATTGTTGTCCCTACGCAGTAGCTATCCCCAGTCCAGAAGTTGGTCGCACAGTCGGACGATACAGCTGGCTTTGCAAGTCAGCACAGGGTTGAGGGTGGATTTACAGTGCCAGCTTACATTCCATTTGAGAAACTGAGCAAGTGTGATCCCAAATGTGCTCTCAATTGTCGCGCAGGTATCGCCAGCTACCACATCATACCATTTATTGCAATTGCAGATGGATCCGGACTGTGTAGGTAGATCTGCTGTCGAGTGAACAGTCGTGTGAGGAGCAACGCTCTTAGTACTGCTCTTAGTACTGCTAACGCCACCAGCAGCCGTGCCAACGCAGTATGAATCTCCAACCCAAAAATTGGTGACGCAGTCATCGGAAACGGCAGGCTGTAGGGCTGTCAGTTCAGTTACTAGAAACATAAGATCCCCCATTCAGAACCTACATTCCATGCCAGAAACTGTCCTTTCGTTATTTGAAACGCAGCTTCTACAGTTTCGCAATTATCGCCCGTAACTATATCGTAGAACTTGTTGCAGTTTGCGGCAATTCCTGTCTGCGTTGGCAAGCCTGCAGTTGTGCGGTATGATGTATGAGCTGTCGTTGCTCTTCGGACGACCTGTGCAGCTTTCAGGTCGATGATGCCTCCTTGCACATTCCAAGCCGCTAGAATAGTCGAAAGCAACAGCAGACGCAGTACAGCCATTGCAACGTTCTATGACGAATCAGGATTGAAAATGATATTTACGACGAGCAGTTCCAGCAACGACCTGACAGAATTAGAGGATGAGTGGAATCTCCCCACAAGACCTCGACGAGATCTGGGCGAACGACCAGCAGCAGAGCTAGGAGCCCGGAATCAAGACAAGGGGAAGAGCCTACGCAATACTCAAGTACGAGCAGCAGTGGTGCACAAGCAATCCCCTGGAAGCGAATGCCTTCAACCCCCAATATCTTAGGACTACACCACGTTCCCATTATAATCCCCAACTGAACTTTGCAGACTAACCGAGAACTGTCGTGGAGGTTACAAACGTGCAATACATCCTCGCCCCACTGCCTGTTTTTAACCCCTGCATATACGCCTCCGGCTAAGCATCTTACCCGCAGCAAGGCCCAGACTACGAATATGAGCTTGATACCCTGTCAGATCCACTATACATGTACGGTTGTGGGGCTGTTGTTTTTGTCCCTTGCATATCCAGCCCGGTTAGACTTCTAGCCTGCTCCATACCCTAGACGATGAGCTTGATACCCTCTTAGATCCACTACGTATGCAGATAGGGCTGTGGAGACACTGTTGGAATTGCCGTTGAAATTATTGCAGTAACCCAGATGGGATTCTTGCCCGTTCACCCTTCTGCGTCTTATTGGCTTGATTACGATGTATGAGTGCGGGGGTGAGAAGGTGAGAGATATTTGTTCCGGCCAACTCACCAACAACGCTAGTTATTCGACTGACCGGTGTAAAATTCTACATTTGTTGTATTGGCTGGCCCGACGGTAAACTGGCGTTGTTGGTAAATGGGCCGGAACAGATTTAAAGAAGGCCCGATACTGAGAAGTACATGCTCTTCGTTGTCCAATCTTGTCTGAGATCAGAGGCTGTTGGATAAAGTGCAGGCAATAATAGGTCGCTTGGGACACGAGCGAATCTCAATGCCTATGGTGGCAGCATTCATTACGCTTTATGGCATACTGTCATTTTACAGGTGAAAATAGGAAAATAGGTTGTTTATAATAAATAATGCAAAGCTTTAGTCACTTCCCAAATCCGTATTGTTAAAGTTGGGGTCCAAAAGACTCGGATCAAGAGTTGGAGTTTTTGGACGACTGAGGTCCGAACCAAGTGCATTTATCGTGGTTCCATCATCCAAATCTACAGCCCATACCATAGTCCTAATAAGCATCATTAGCAGGAGGCACAAGTCATGTCGGGGAATCCAATTCTCACCCTCCAAGGCAGCGGCTATTGGCGTATTGGACTCTGCAACACATAGTTAGCTTTGCCAGATCAAAAGGTCATATTTGAAGAGACTTGCTTCAACTTCATGGTTTCGACATCATCATAAGAGACCCATTGGTTGTTGTCCCACGTGATGATCTTGACAGCTGCAACGGGATCAAACGTGACGGATGCGCCACCAGCGACTACTTCTCTGATCTCAGTAGCTGAAAGAATTCCAGACGTGTTTGTGCATGGCCCGGGTTTGCCACCACCAGAAAATTGACAACCTGATGCAAGACAGGACGAGCTGCTCATTGTAAAGCCTGTTAATTTAGTGAGTGTGGTAATCGGCGGATGAGAATTATAAACTTACTGCGACCATAAAATCCAAGACCAAGATTTACTGAGACAGTTATCAGCATTCACATAAATGTTCGGAATGTGCCGAAAGGATTACCTCTCGCGGGATCGATGTTATTCCTCCAAAGGAGCTCCAGGCTCTGCTCAATCTCCGTTAGATTCGTGTGTGCTTGCGCAATAGCTCCAATTGACGGATCCGTGGAGTCCCAAGTTCCGTGAATGTCGTAAGTCATGATATTGAAAAAGTCAATTACAGGATCGATCTTTACGATGTCGAAGCCGCGCATATACCAGTACGAAGATGGCTAGATAAGTTTAAAACGGGGTTACCATAAGACTACCCCCTTTCACTCACAATCGTAATTGATATTCCGGGACGAGTTGGCATCCCACTCTGGTCTAATGCATTTCGGAGGTTCTGAAGGAATACAGGATAGTTTTCATGGTCAGCTGCAATCCCCCCTCTGTCTGGTGCAACCGGATACTCCCTAAAAACCCGGTTAGTACTTGTGTCCAAGTTTAAATTAGAACAGGTTCCTCAAGACTTACCAATCAAGATCAACGCCATCAAACCCATTTTTCTCCATGAAGCTGATTAAAGAATTGAAAAAATTAGACTGTGCCGTAGACGATGCCGCAATATCTGAGAATGTAGTTGCTGTTGGCCCGGGATCATTCATTGCCCATCCTCCAACCGAGATCCAGACCTGAAGCCCAGGCTGCAGAATTTTAAGGGCTGTGACTCTTTGATAAAGTGCGGCAACATCAGACCCCATAGGAGCGATATTGAACGTGACTGGATCGATTAATGCAAATGCAAAATTGATATGTGTGTAATACCCCAAGGGTATCTTTTCTGGAGTCATGGCTAAATATCATCAGTGCTGCACACGCTCTATGGGCTGATATACGTACTATCACAGCGTCGCTCCAGATTCCAGCCTTCGTAGTATCCAATCGTTCGAGCATCGGAGCTGGCACCGCCGCAGGAAGGAGAAGTCACGGTAGATGATCCGCAGAAATCAGAAGTGGTACCTATAACAAATCACCATCAAGTCCTCGAATTTAAACCTTGTTATACTCACCACAGAAGCCGTACTGGCTGCAGCAGACGTTAAGAGGACAAGCTTCTGCTGCAGACCATTTGGAACCCCATCCAGGGTCACATTCAGAAACTGCATCACACGTCGATGTACAGTTGCCTGCTCCGCAAAATGTAGGTCCTTGATTTCGATTAGTACAGATGATTACGGCTCAAGAAGCGTTAGAATCGCACCAAGACCACAGCTTCCCGTTCTAGAAAGAATTTAGCAATTGACTTGAACTCTATATTAAGGCAGAGCAAACCCATCAGATCCTAGCCTGCAACATCCACTGGCACAATCTTTCGTCTTTGTACATGTATAATCTGCAGAAATAATAGAAGCGAGCCCGACCAGCCCGACCAGGAGAAGTGAGAATAGCTTCATGGCGGCAATTTTTCTCTACTGGAAGTAAATATTTACAGAATAAAGCGAGAAGCAGAGAGAAGGTTGTCAGAAAAGGATGAAGTGCTTGACTACCATCGACAGACAAGTGAACTCCTCGCCCTTGCCCCAGTCAACAGAAGAAAAAGTTACAAGCTTTACAGTACATCACTTTCTAAATATCCAGTAGACCCCAACGTAAATACGAGATAGATGAACCCTCGCCCCACTTTATGTAGGACGCTGTTTTGACCCCCTGTTAGATCCACTTTACATGTAAGGTTGCGGTGTTGTTGTTTTTGGCCCCCGTATATCCAACATCCAACCCGGCTGAGCTTCTCACCTGCAACAAATACTACTCTACGGAGGTAAATAGGCTTTAACTCCGTAGACAATAAGTTGGGTGATACCCTGTTAGATCCACCATATATGTTAGATTACGGAAGACCTAAATATCCTACGGCCTTCATTTGCTAGGGCACAACTTTTCTATAGATTCTGGCAGGCCAATGAGGAAGTAGGCAGGTGGTAAGTACGTAATAATCGGCAGTACTCGTAAGCTTACTGTAGATGCAGAAAACGTTTTGCACGGTCTTGGAATTCGTGCCTTACTACATAAGGTACCCTGTCTAACTGAGCTTTTTCTTACACTTGACCTTCAAGTTCATGTAGGAGGCGTACTTTGGGTTACAACCATGATTGATTAAACATGGGTTCTTGTATTTCGCCTTTTTCGTATACATTGCATTGAACCTGTCTACGTCCAGCTGACTCGGCGACGTGTTATGAGGGTTAACCGCTCCATCATGACCTCTGGTGTATACATTGGCGCGAACACCGTTCACCACCTTACCACCAATCGTAGATCCATAAAGCATAATGGATTTCCAGTCAAAGTCTGCAAGTTCAAGCTCAGCTGTAAATGACATTTTCATAGGCAAATATTCGAGTGCAGAAAACCCTCTACTTTTAGCCGTTGCTTCGCTGTGGCAAACATCGTTCGAGTCTCCATTTGGTGTCCCGGCTTTGTCAACATAATCGGCTAGATTTGTGCAAACGAAATTGATTTGATTCGTGGGTCCCGTGGCTTGGGCGTATTGGACCTTGTTCCAGAAGTAAGGGCGTTGCTGCTCGTGATAAAACCCCCATGCGTGTCTATTTCTCTGTCAGTCAAGTTTGTTCATAACGAACGTAATAGCTCACCCTATCTCGTGCGCCATGTTGGCGACGGCATCCCCCATGGCGAGATCTGGATTGGGATCAAAGAGCATAAATGCACCGTTTCCTTCGCTATAAAACTGAGTTCCAATCGTGGTCAGCAACCTCCCATCAGTGTTCGCCTGGATGAGAAGATAGCCGATGCCCTTTGTAACATTCCCATTAACTGGGGCAGGACAATTATTATACTCCCCCATGTGGATGTTATAGTCGACGCCTCTGTGAACATTAGCCTCTAGAATTTAGACAGACTGCCTATCAACCACTAACGATGTCTGCCAGCGCTTCCAACCATCTTCGACCAAGTCTTTCAATAGAGTCTTCGTATTATCGTTTTCGAAGCAGTATGGAAGAGTGCTGCCGGGCCATGTAGAGGGAGCTTGGGTTGCTTCTTCGCTTGGTTCGACAGTGTAGTATCTCTTCAATAACTCAGCTTTATCAAGTCTACTTCCATTGGCGGCTTTGAAAAATGGAAGGTCTTGATAGTCAGGACAGGCCAGCGTTATAGTTGAGAAGAGTAGTCCAGTGTACAGGCAACCGTGGATGGCTTTGACCAGCAACATATTACCACAATGTTTCATAGGCGTTCTATCAGAGAGAATTAAGAGAGAGAAACACGACAGACATATGATTTTCAATGTCTTAAATTTGGCACTGCCGAGCGATGATGAGGTTGCGTCGAAGAAATATGTAGCTTGACAAAGCACGAGTGGTGAGGATATGAGACACCATCAGTCACTTTACAATATGCAGTTACATGAAACCGCCATGGCCAACAGCCCTTGTCATACAACGGTTGGGGTTTGTCAATCCGCGAACTACATTCGATTTAGCCCGCACCCTTGCCCTTGCTCACGATTTTCGCAACACCCCCCCTGAACCTTGCCCCGGCAAGGTGCACCAGTTTACTTGCTCGATTACAATTTTCTCAATTTTTGACGGACCGATTATCCATGTGGACCTCGGATGGGTTCTGGCAGAAGTGCACTCACCCTTGACTCTTGGTCCCTAAAAATACAGGACTCGAATTTACTGTAGATCAACTATAACGCAGCTTGGCGGGAGTAGGAGGGTGCAGGAAAGACTATGGCATGTACGGAAGTAAAGCCCCGATCCAGGCTTTACCTCCGTACGGGTAGCAAGGCGTCATTTCCGATGACCCCCCAATCCATCGAAGTTGCATGTGTCGATCTAAGACAGTGATCCTTCCAACATTTCTCATTTACCCAACAATTCTTTCGCAGCTACATCCCGGAAGAAGTCGTCTAGATGGAGACAACCATCCGATCTAGGGTTCCAATTAGACACCGACTCGCATCTCGTGAGGAGCCAAAGAGAATCTGAAGTTCTTTTCACTACCCATTCCCTTGTTCTTGTTTGCGCTGATGAAAATTGTTACCAGCGACATCTTGCTGCTCATCATGATGCTGCCCTTACTAGAGATGGCGTTGAGCGTTGCCATGGTTTCTGCTGTATCGGCTGCCGCCAGCTCCTTTGACATGGCCAGAGCAGTAACAGACCCTACTGATTACTCATGGATCAAGAAGTTCGCCGCAGTGGGAGACAGCTTCACAGCAGGCATTGGATCTGGAAATCTGTACAGCCTTAGCGACAACTCCGACGACTGCTCACGGTATTCTTATACTTATCCTGTGATCATGAATCATTTCTTCGGACCAACTGTTAAGAATTTCACGTATGTTGCATGCTCGGGAGCTATCTCATCTGGTATATTTGAACAGATCAATGCTTTAGATGATGATCAAGATGTTGTCATTATGACTGCTGGTGGAAATGATCTTTGTCTCGTGAGATAAACCTCTAAGCTCAAAGATGTCAAAATTCTGACGAGAAATCCAGTCAAATATCATCAACGAATGTATTGCAGGTGTCGCACCGTTAGATAGTCGATGTGACGCTGCTGTGGCTACTGCCCACGCCGCACTGGGACCTGATGGCTACTTCAAGCAGAACATTAAGGACCTTCTTATCGCCCTTGAGTGTGTATATATACGTTTTTCTATATGCACGTATTTCAATTGACTTTGATAAATTATAGTTCCAAGATGGCCAACAATGGGATTGTAGTCCAAGTCTTGTATGCTCAATACTTCAACGACCAGACCGACGCTTGCACAAAAGAAAATTGGCAGGTATTAAAAACAGCAGGGCTACCACTGAATACATCGAGACGTACACAGTTCAACTCGCTTGTAGTGCAAACCAATGCCGTAATACAAGCGGCTGTAGATGAGGTTGCGGCTAACGCGACAACGACGATGAAGATCGTGACTGCTGATTGGGACCCATGGGCACAGGTCACTGGTGGGCAGTTCTGTAAGTTGTCTCTCATTAAAGGACATCTAGTCCTCCTATTTAGACCGCTAAAGTAACTCTGAACACAGGCGAGGCAGGAGCGAGTCCGGTGAGTAGAGATTTTTCAGAAGTATCAAATACAAGATTCTTACATTCCTGTAGGATCCAGACGACGCGGGCAACGCAAACGTCATGTTCTTCAAGCTATTCACCGGAGTCACGGCCCCGTTGGAGAGCCGTGGTGGTTTTGGATACATGCACTACGATAATGAGACATACGGCGCAGAGCCGTATGGACTAGAAATGAGCAAGCGTGGTCCTGTCGACCCGGGTTGTCCAGCATCTTCCATCCCTCTACCTGACAGTATCGGGAAGATCTTCCACCCAAACGGCCTCGGCCACGAAGTCATCGCTGCATACGCCCTTGATGCCATTGGAGATGCTCGTGCTGCCATACTCGGAGAAAGTCCCGTATGTCTTGTAGTCGATAATATGTTCTGTTTCTCAGACCACGGCAGCCGTGCCTACGCAAGTGCTGGAGCACTAAACAACAACATCGATGATTTCTGCAGTTATGTAGCCAAAAACAAGCCTGCAAACGTGGCTGGTTGGCATGTCGCTAAAACTTATTACTCTGGCACCTTAGACGAATTCATAATGGCCATATCGCTGTCTGACAAGGTCTCTACATTTAGCGAAGACTCTTGCCAAACAGCTATTAGCTCGATTATTAATGGCTGTGACGTACCCAGATCGGGGAACAATCCAATGAATTGGAAGGGTGGTGGCAACAGAACCGAGGGCGAGTATTTTTATGCGGTCTCAGTTCATAGGACGAATCGCCCATGGCCACCGCCAACGGCGCCATCACAGAGTTGCAAGGGATGGTACAAAATTGCATTTCAAAATTATGACATCTATGGCGCCGGGTGGGCAACGTATGATTGGGGTCAGCAGTCGTTAATGAAACAAGTAAATCCGTGTTGTGGCTCTGGTAAGAAATTTTTCCGAGTAATTTACTCGACACTTATTGGTGCTGACTTCCTACAGGTAGTCTAACCGCCTAGAACTTTGACTACTTCGACCAACCGGATGAGAATGGATATGAGGTAAGCACAGACCTAATTGTGAATATAAATATAGACTGACAAATTGGAAAGTGGCATGCTTATTTCCACACAGCGATTGGGACTCGTCGTCGATGCTTTGACAACAATAAGGTTCAGTGTGCTGCCGGAGGCCCTTGTGACTCCTCGTGTAATGGCAACGGATAGTTAACAGGAATCCACTTCTTATAAATCAATTAGGTCGGGTTTACAGGCTTAGGGCAGTAGGGTTAGAGTTAAGTGTATACTTAAATTTATTACTACACGCCCTATAGGGATTGACTTTAGGCCCTATAGGGCTTAGAATGTCTAACATTAAAAAATTTACAATTTTACATATCCTATGTTAGGCCCTATAGGGCGTTAGATTTTTTACTTTTTACTTTTTTTTTATAAGGCCCTATAGGTGTTATAGCTAGGGTTTTTAGCAGTACTATTGCTAACACCCTAAGTATAGTAGCTATAAACATATTAGTAAGTTAACTACCCTTAAGGTAGGGTTAACATTAGGTAATAGAGTTTTCTTAGGTACCTACTTCTATAGGTACTAGAAAATTCCTAGGCACTTAAGAATTGCTAGGTACTAGATAGAGTAGGTACCTAACTCTTTCTAGGTACCTAACTATTACTAGGTACTAGATATAGTAGGTACTAGACTATTTGTAGGCACCTCCTTATAAGAACTCTATATAATAGAATAGTAGGAATAGTAAGAATAGTAAAGAAGTTTGCTATTCTAACTATTCC